AAAGGAGGCACTGGTACTTGGAAAATTATTAGAACCGTTATGACTGAGGTGAAGAATTTGTGCAGCCTTCCACAATTTCAAAGAGGTAGTGATAGATGCTTGTTCTCCGGGCGATATCAAATGCAGTCTCTTCCAAGTTGTTTTTCAGACCTGGTTTGATGTAGCGATTCATCAGGAGGAGTTCTAGGGTATCTTTGCTGTCTCTGTTCCCGGCAGCAAGATGTAAGGGGGTCAAGAGGCCTTTTGTTTGCGCGTTAATATCTGCATCATGCTGAAGTAAGAGGGAAGCTACTCTGGTATTATTCCACTTACAAGCACTGTGCAGGGGCGTCCAGCCATCCACAGTCACCGCATGGACATCTGCCCCTTGTGCAATCAGCTCACGCACAACGTCTAAGTGTCCACTGTAGGCTGCTCGATGAAGAGGGGTATACTCATCTTCATCTCTGGTGTTCACGTGAGTGGACTTTTCAGAAAGTAGTCTCCGCACTGTAGTAAGCTAAGGAGGAAGAGACATCTTTAAAAATCCTGAACAGTCAATGGAGAAAATTAAACTGTCTCATGGTGTTAAACTTGATTAAGTTCAATAAAAACTTCCTTGTTAGCAGATGACGTTAAAATAAAAATGACTTAACATCTCTTTCGGGGACAACAGATTTAAGAATGAATAGTTAGTGTCAACCACGCTCTTGCATCTAAGAATGTGATTCTCTGAATATTAAAACATACATTTACTCCTGGTCCAATTAAGGCTTATCGCATAAAAGCTTTAGTCCTAGATAAATAATACAGGCTATTGTGTTTAATACTTTCTATTTCATTAGTGAAGAAAACATAACTGATTGATTCTTTGACAGTAGGGTTATCACACCAATATACACAGTGTGTAACTCTAAAAAATAAACTTCTTTATCAGAAGACAAAGCTACAAGGAAATCTAGAGATTAAAGAGCTCAAACTAAAACAACCTTAGAAATGTGTTTTCAGGAAGTGATTTTCAGCTTGGGTCTTTGGATCTCTGGTGGGATGCAGTGTGCTCTTTGATTAAAAAGTTGCCCAAAAATACAAGACCTTTTACTAACAGACATGGAGGAACTTAGTAAAATGAGGTAGAAGTGGATGAGTGGGAAAAATAGATTGGATGATACTGGGCAAATTAGTACTCCTGAATCTCATTTTCTTAAACTCTAAAAGGGAATATTATTATCTTGTAGGGATATAGGAGGATTAAATCAAACAATGTAATAAAGCACATGTTAATTCCCATCCTCCCTTCTCTAAATGATAGTTGTATCTAGGATGATCTTAATGACTTAATAGAAATGATTTAAAAATATAGGTGACTTCTTGACATCTTTATAATTATCCCTTAAACTTCCAAATAATACTTGATAGGATTTTTGTGGCTTACTATGTACTTTCATGTACATTGCCTCGTATGATCCTCAAAATCCTGTATGAAAGATACAGGTTTTATGATGGCCACTTTTACAGGTAAGAAAATAGAGGTTCAGAAATGGTAGGATTTGCCCAAAGTTACAAACCAAATAGAGGTTCAGGGAAAAGGTCTTCTGGCTCCGAATCCAATACTTTTCCTACTATATTATGGTTTCCTCTTTAACGTTTTTGTTTGTTTTTACCCGATTTTTTTCAGCAGCCCAAAGAAGCAATTTGCTTGGATCTTTTTCCATTTTTTTTTCTTGCAATTGATACCACTCTTCAGTTTTTTCATCTTGCTCCTCATCTTCATCAGAATTCCCTACCCAGAGACTTTGGGTACCAGTGGGAATAAGGTGCCCATGTGTTTCCAACAATTCAAGTTGGTTAAAGTGTTCAGAAAAGTCCAAGAAATTTTCTGGATCTGGTTTTCCATCATCACTGACTTTCCCTTTTTCCATTTTCACTACTGTTCTAAATACAAAGCATTTCAAATGCCAGGGTATAATTAATCTTTCTAGAGACGAATTATGTCTGCTTTATTTTATCCATCAAGATCTGGAAACACAAACACAAAAATTATTAGAAAAACAGTAACTGAGTGTTTATCAACAGCAGAGATAAGTTTTGTAAACACACACAAATAAACCCTGTTTAAACTTTTTGGATTATTGGTACCCTTTACAGTCTCTAAATACTGGAAATGAGTTTTCAGTTAGCTATATCTTCAATGGTCTAAAACTCCTTATTTTCTTAAGTCAATGGTCATATTACTCTGAATCTATTGGTTTAGATACTATTGTATTATATGGAGTGATAAATTCTTAAAGTTTCTAAATTATAATTTAAACAAAAGGTATATTCATGATTTTTATAGACTAGACACATAGATGATGCAAAGCAGAAACAAAAACTTATAGTTTCTAATAAGCTACTTCAAAGACTTGGGCATTACTAGAGATGGAATAGCCCCAAGGGCATCTGTTCAAATCTCCTATCCTACAGATAACTTTATCATAGCATCTATAATAATTATCCTATTTCCACTTTAATAATTTCAGGCTTAGGAAAATCCACTGCTTTAAAAAGGAGTCCCATTTATTGATAGACAATTATAGTTCTCAGTTGGCTTCTTATTTTGAACTGAATTTTGGCCATCATTCACTCCATTCAACAAATATGAATAGAATGCTCGGTATGTGTCAGTGTCTGGACATTGGGATTCAGTAATGAACAAGGTCCATGTCTTAACCTCATGAAGCTTATTGTCTAATGGGGATGACTGGCAAGAACAGCATGATCTATGCTATAACAGGACCCTGTCCAAAACAATGAGTATACAAGAGGGTTATAATTAACCCAGTCCAAGTCCTAAAGGATTAGAGAAGGCTTCTTGAAGGAAGTGACACTTATTCAGCTAGGCTGCCACATTAACTTATAAAACAATATCAGCTTAGAGAGTTACACAGCTTATTAAATCTTAACCAATTTTTAAAAATGTAACTAATAAATATCTTAAAAATACCATTTCTCAGCCTCCCAATTATATTTGTTGAAATCAGTCTATCAAGGCTCTTCTCAGATGTTATCTCTTCCGTTAAATCTTTCCTGAACTTCAAAATCAGATCTCTCTGGTAGCTTTTTTTGTGCTACGTATTGCCTTGTTCAGCACTAATTTGTTCTTGTTTTAGTCCCTCAGAAGTTAATAAGCTTAAGGATAGGGGCTATATTTAACTTATATTTATGCCTTACTTACACAGAGAGCATTAAGAAATATTTATAGAATTAATTTTAATTAAAGCCCTATCATTTGATTTTGTGTGGAATGGATTCAGAGAAGTTCCAGGTTAGTCATACCCTTAAGATACTAATTTCTTTTTAATCTCATAAGTTAAATGGTATTCAGTACTAATGTGGCATTAGATTTTATTACTAGTGCTAAAGTACTAAATTCAAGTTTAAATCTGTCACTCATAACTAATAACTTCTCTTGGCCTGTTACTTCATTGTAAAACGAAACTACTAAAGGATTTCCAACTCCTCCCCAGCTTTTCAGAGTCTATTGAGAGACCTCATCAGAACTGCTTTGCATTTTACTAGTTCTCTTGGAATTTTCACCTTTTATTATTGACGTATTGTTGATATACAATGTTAATTTTAGGTATGTGACATAGTGATTCAACAATTCCATACATTACTCAATGCTCACTAGAGTATACGATATTACTGATTATATTTACTTATTGATTATACTCGTATATTATTGACTATATTCTCTGCTGCAATTTTCATCTTTATGACTTACCTATCCTATAACTGGAGATTTGTACCTCCCAGACCTTTCAGCTATTTTATCTATCTCCCCACTGCTCTCACCTCTGGTAACCACCAGTCTGTTCTGTATTTCTGATCTTTGTATTTAGGAACTCCCATTGGAGTTCTCATTTTTTTCTTTACTCTCAAACTATTCTCTGAACCTTGCAACACAAAAATGATCATACATCAATTCATTAAACACTTAATAGATACCAAGAAATAATATAGCACATATTTTAACCCCCTTTTCCTTTCTAGAAAAACTCCTCCCCTTTTTATAATAAATTTTGAATTTACTGCTTCAGATAGAATAAGTCACATATAAAATTTATTTTTAAATTTTAGGTAGATTAATAGTCAAACCTAGAGTCAAAAATATATTAAGATTCTTACTTGACGATATTCCACTAGGAAGAAATAGGGTATGTTTCTTAACTTAAAAGAACATATTTCGATAGAGATCTAAACTATGTCCACTCCTTACAAATAACTCAGTGACAGATGGGGTCATAAATCCCATTTTACAGGTGAAGGCGCAGAGTTTCTGGTAGATTAAAGCAACCTGCCCTAGATTAAGGACCCTTTAATGGAACTGAAAGGTCGGATTTTCTAATTCAAAAGTTTCTTTCTTTCTTTCTCTCTTTTTTTACTATACCAAATTTTACTGCTATGAGCACAAAGTAATACAGATGTACTGAACCCAGAGTCCAGGGGCGAAAATAAGGGGATGCAGGGAATACAAGGGTCCGAATGCTCTAACTCTGGGGAGTGGGAATGCGGGAGAAGCCCTCTGGCACCGATTGGTCACTTCACAGGCCCGGAGTCGCGCCTGCGGCCTTCCAAACAGCCAAGAGTGGAGATGCTGCTCCAGCCCTACCCAGGACCCACCACGCAGCCCGACCAGCTGGGCTCAGCCAGGGTCGACAGGTGACCCGCCCCTAAGGGCCCACTAGTTTTTAGGTGGCGCGAGGGGACCAAGGAGCGCGGGCCGGGACAAGCAAGAGCTACCCACCTTAAAGAAGGGAAAATCGCCGCCGCGAACCTCGCTTCCGGGGTCGTCCCTCAGCTTCTCACGATTGGCTCCCGCATGAGGGCGGGGCCTCGCCGCTACTTTCCCGGCTCCCGCACGGCGTTCGGCAGCCAATGAGAGTTGAAGATTTGAGTGCTCCGTCATCAGTGAGGTATCGCGAGAGAAATGAGCTGGTTTTTCTCTCCCGCCTAATTCAGGTATGTGGCCCAGAGGGTTCTTAGACGCAGGCTCGGGAGGTGCCGTTGCCTTTTTCCTCTCGAACGCCGCCCCTTGTTCCCGGGTAAAAGACGGCCTGGGGGGTCCGATGAGGGTATGGAGAATGTGGGTGTGGGGCAGTTTAGGAATCGTACCGCCTATTTCTGTGGGATTGGGGCGGAAGCCCTGAGTGGATTGACCCTCTTCTAAAGAATGCGACGAGACCCTGGAGGGTTCTGGTTCTGGTGGTGGGGTGTGTTGAGCCTTGGGATCTCGACGGAACCAGGAGTCCGGACGCGGGAGGGGTGGTTTCGCGGTGGCAAACACTCTTGCCCGAGTATCCTGGCCATTTCCACTTGCCTTGCGGGCGCCGAGCGTTTTTCCGCGGAGCACGTGTTTCTGTTTATTTACACTAGTTTTAAAGGTGGGCCCTTCTCTTTTCATAAATTAGACCTTTTCTTTAAACAGTTTTGATTTTCAGCATGAAATACGTCGGGAGTCACGTCCATGCTCCGGACTGCACATGCAATTTAAACATTTCTGCACGCCCAGAGTTGTTTGTGTGCTAAGCCAGAACTACTGTATGTGACCCTTTTTTGTCCATTCATTTGATAGACATTAGTTTCCCATAGTTTAATCATAATGGTGCAATTAGAATGGCACTGGAGATGTGCCATTTACTATTTGTTGATTCTTAAATAAAAATACAGTAGGTCCTTAGATGAAGATGAGATGCCAAATATTGGTAGTCTGATTTTAAAAGAATGTGAGTTTTATAATAATGTAATTTTGCTTTTAGTATTTGCTAGGACTTGAAATCGAGTGAGTTCTCTGACATATTTGAGCACACGACCCAGGAGTACTTGGAGAAAAAACTGGTTCCAAAGGCCCGGGACTGACTGCAGAAATGAGTCCTGCAGATGCCCTGTAAGCACTTGTCTTATGGAATCTTTTTTGTTGCTTTGGATTTCTAAAGCTCATCAGCTATGATCACCTTAAGAGAAAACTTACTTAATAAATGGGCAGAATAAAGAGTTTGCCCATGAACAGAAATGTTAGTCATCAAAAAACATTTAGAATGTTAAAAAAATTAATATTGTATGTTTACTGACGAAAAGATAATATACACCTATAGGTTGAGGCCTTGTAATTTGGTGTATTACTGTAGTATTTAAGTTTATATTCTTCAGTTTTGTCTTAAAATATTGAAGCTATATAAATATTCTTGAACTTTTGTGAGGAAGTCTTAACTAGTCATTGCAAGCCTATTTAAACCGTATATTGCTCTAGCATTGAATCAGTTGGGAATGAATTTGAGTAAAATGAAAATCAATAAAGGAATCAGAAGTTATGTGGAAAAAGCATTAGATTTGGAGTCTTTCACCCTGATTTCAGTTCCTTGGTTAATAGTGTGTGACCTTGGGCAACTTTGCAATTCTCTGAACCTTACCTCAATTTCTTCATCTTCTATATGTAATTGGAACAAAATTGCCTTTGTCAGATAAATTGAGAATTCATTTGAAAATACTTTGTAAATTGCTATGGAAGCTTAAGGGTGATGTGATCTTGAAAGTATTTTGAACAACCTGTGTGTGTGTGTAGCAATTAAAACTGTGTGCATATATATCATCTGAGGTATTTGGAGAGAAACCTTTTCTGGAAAAGTCTCCTATATAAAGATTTCAGTTTTGGAGATATATGTGAAAGTTTTTTTAAGTTCCCTGTGATTTAGTGAAATTAGCCTGAGTGGTTAAATCCTGTTTCTTCCACTTGGTTATGCAGTAAATCATTTAATTTCTCTGTTTTGTGTTCTCATTTTTCAGAGATAGTATATACCTACCTACCTGTTGACAAGTGGAAGTTGAGATGAAATCATAGATCCCTAAGTATTTTAAAGAGAGTTAAAAGTTACATTAAATTTAAAAAAGCATTAATTACTACATTGCTGCTTCACATAAAAGTCCCTTTGAATACCACCCAATTCAAATGGAATTTTAAATGATTCTGGTTTGTTACCTGGCCAAATTTGTTATTGAAACACTGACTTTGTATAGAGAGTAGAATCAAGCAAGTGTCTTCAGGGACTGGAATGTAAGTTTACTAGCTTATTAGGATAAAATCCTCTTGTAAGAGGAAGGGCTTTTTAAATGAACCAGTCCAAGTATGATTTTCCTGGACAAGTACAAAATAAACAGCAGGTTTAGATAGGGGGTCAAATCCTCTTAGTTTTTCACTGTGGAATAGAATTCAAAAACAACCAAGCTTTGGGGTCCAGTGTACGAAGGAGTATATAAAACTGGTTGTAACAAGGTTATACTTTTTTGAAGAAGTCGCAGAATTTTTAAAAAATTCATATGTTCTGTTTTGAATTAGTGGTAGGCAAACCATGTAATGTTAAAGATCTGTTGGATACTTCACATTTTTAGACTTATTTTAAGGATAGAAAAGCGATTTTACTACATAATTGCTCTTATTTATCATATAAATTTAGATTTTAATTGGTTTGACCATACTTTTAACAAATTATATTGACCTGTCTTTTTCTTTTTTAATACAGTGATGATGAAAATACATTTAAAATCTTAGTTGCCACAGATATTCATCTGGGATTTATGGAGAAAGATGCAGTCAGAGGAAATGATACATTTGTAACATTTGATGAGATTTTAAGACTTGCCCAGGAAAATGAAGTGAGTTGAGTTTACATTTTTCAATTTCTATTATGTTCTCTTAGTCAATAGGTTTTATAGGTTCATGTGCTCCCGTTGCCTGCTTAAATGTCAGTATACTGAAAGTGCAAAGCAGATTTTGAGTGTCTTGTCCCCTAATTCAAGTAGGAGCTACTTTTGTGAGAGATTTGTAAAAGTTTACAAATATTTATGGGGTGTTTACTGAGTGCAGGATCCTGTGGCAGGTTCTATTTGAAATGGAACTTTCTATGAACATAAAGCGTAACAAGATGTGAGATAAAGACAAATGTCCATAGTGCTCAGATGAAAGGTCTCAAGTGGTAAGAACCATTAAGAATTAAAAACAGCCTTTCCGGGGAGGTTAGGCATAGAAGAGATCAGGTAGAGGACAGCAAGATTAGTTTAATGAACGAGATGGCATTTAAGTTGGGCTTTGAAGGAAGGGTAGGCTTTTGATGGGTGAAGAGCATAGAGAATGTATGGTTCACAGGAAGAAGGACACAGAGATGAGACAATGTGAGAAATGTTAGGGGCACAACAGGTCAATTTGGCTCATTAGTAGGCCATTTGTTAGAAAGCTTGCTGAAAGACTAAAGGCATGGTTTGAACTGTATTAAGGAGGCTTTCAAATGCCAGACTGAGGAGTCTGTACCCAATTCAATGGGAAAATCTTCAGGCAACAGGATATAGCATGAATTAAAGACCGGTTTGAGGCTTTTTTAAAGTAGTGGCATGAGATGGAAAAAAGGAAGTAAATGCCAGAGGTATTTCGAAGATTGGATTTGAATACTTCAGAGGTGGGGTTGTGAGAAAGGGACGGGACAGTGACTAGAGTATGTGAAGTTTGGGCGAATGGTGGCACCAGTAATAGAACTAGGTTCTAAATAAGGAAGAGGTACTTCTTTGTGTAGGAAGGTGATGAATTCTGATTTAGACCATTTGAGCTGGGAGATTCCGGTAAGACTTTCAGGTCAGCATTCCGGTAGACAGTTGACATGTCCTGCTGGACATTTTAGGAGAGAGCTGAGGAAGAAACATAAATGCTTATGATTTACAAATTAGTATCTCCAACCTTGACTTTTCCTCAGAGTTCTGTTCAGTTTATCTGCAACTCTTTTAGTTCTTCCTTCTGAATGTATATGGAAATTGTTTTTGTACCTATATATTTAGCCCCAGATTTTTATCATATTTTCCTGCAGTAGTTCCCCATGTACCTTTCTGTTAGCCTTCTTTTTCCCTGCATCTATTCAGCATAGCAGCTAAAGTGAACTTTTAAAATCATAGATCAGATCCTATCACTCTGCTCCTTAAAATCTTCCAAGTGGCCTTCTAGAGAATCTAAAATAAAACTCAAATTACAAGGCTCAACGTGGTCTGGCCTCTGTCAGGAGACTTCTACAACAACTCTATGCCTTGTTCACTGTGCTCCACCCACACTGGCATGTTCTACTCTGGGACCTTTGCACGTCAGTTCTCTCTGCTTGGAGCGTGCTTTACCTTTGGTAGACGTCTTCCTGGATATCTCCAAACACTCTTTTATCAATTACTTTGTTTATTTTTTTCATCACACCATCTGAAATAATATATTGCTTACTTGTTGACTATTGACCTTCTACACTAGAAGGTAGATTCCATGAGAGTGAAAAATCTTTTCTGCTTGTTCATACGGTATCTTAACATCTAGAAAGGATCTAGTAAGCAGTAGGTAGCTCTTAATAAATTTGTTAATGAGGGGTGCCTGGGTGGCTCAGTCAGTTAAGCATCCAAGCTTGGCTCAGGTCATGATCTCACGGTCTGTGAGTTCAAGCTCTGCATGAGGCTCTGTGCTGACAGCTCAGAGCCTGGACCCTGCTTTGGATTCTGTGTCTTCCCCTCTCTCTTCCCCTGCCCCCCATAAACATAAAATTAAAAAAATAATAAAATTGTTAATGAATGAAGGAATATCTAGTAGTATCTCCTTTTAAGATGATTTCCTCTTTACCTGAGGGCAAGGGAAACTTGGAACCAAAGGAGGTCTGTTTCCTGCCAGAAAAACTTGGGTTCTTTCTTATAGTACTAAAATATTTCTTTTCCTGAGCATGAACATCTTGTACTTCGTCTTTGCTTCCCTTCTATTTCCTCAATTCCCTTCCTCCATCCCTTAATTTTAACACTCCCCTCCCCCCATGGCCTCATGCTGGTACTTCAGATGCGTATTTTATTTTACTTTTTCCTTTAGTTTGTATTTAACAAATTATTTATTATTGAAATCGAAATTTTTCCTGACTTTAAGTGCCCTATTTTGTGTGTCTATGCCATCGAACTCTCTTTATTTCTACTTTTTAATTTCTTGGAACCTTTTTTTTTTAACTTCTAAGTTTGAAACAATATCAGTCTCACAGAAATATTGCATGAATAATACAAAGAATTCCTTACCTTTCACCCAGGTTTTCCTGCATTTTACCACATTTGCTTTATTCTGTCTCTTTACACACACACACACACACACACACACACACACACACACACACACTTTTATCCTGAACCATTTGAGAGTAAATTGCATATATAACCACAGTGCACTTATCAAAATCAAGGAATTAATATTGATTGGACACTGTTACATGACTTTAGGGTGTTGCTAGTTGTCTCAGTAATGTCAGTTACAGCAGTCAGAGGCAAGATGTTAGAGTCCAGGTCTTACCTGGGGTTACATTTTGCATTTAGTTGTCATGTCCCCTTAGCTTCTTGTAATCTGGTACATTTCCTCAGTCAGCCTTTGTCTTTCATGACCCTGACATTTTTGAAGGGTGTAGGCCAGTTACTTTATAGACTATGCCTCAGTTGGATTTGTCTGATATTCCCCATGATTGGATTCACTTTGTGGGAGGAAAACCACAGAAGCAAGTTCTGTCCTTTTCAGTGTTCCCTGGAGTCACAAAGAGCTTTTAAAAATATTTAAAAATATTTTTTATTTGTGGTAAAGTACACCTAACAAAATTCACCATCTTAACTGTTTTTGAGTGTACACTTTATCAGCCTTAAGCACATTGACATGGTTGTGTAACCAATCTCCAGAACTCTTCTCTTGCAAAAGTAAAACTATACTGTTTAAACAGCTGCTCCACCCTCCACCCAAAATGTTTTTTGTTTTGTTTTTTTCTATGCTGTTGTGATCACTTTCTTCCTTTACTCAAATCCTGTTCATTTCTGAAGACCTAGCATAAGTCTTGCATTTTTATTGAAGCTTCTCTGACTACTGTAAGATGGAAAACTTTTCCTTTCTTCCCTTTTAGATTCTTCGGCTGTTCTAATAATTAAATTGACTTCAGACACATTAACAGGAGAAAACTAGATTTTGTATGTATAGGAGCCTCATTAAAATCTGAGGCTCCCTGGCAGTCAGGTAATTGAGCCTTATACGCCATCCTGAGCTACAGAGAAAGGAGGTAGCGATCTGGGGTTTCCAGGAGGGAGATGACTAATAGGAAGGTGGGAAGAGCAAATGCTGGTCATGCCACACAGAGAAGTCTTTTGGGGGCACCTGGGTGGCTCAGTCTGTTGAGCATCTGGCTCTTGATTTTACCTCAGGTCATGATCTCACAGTGATGTCCAGCCTGTGATAAAGCTCCTCACTGAGCATGGAGCCTGCTTAAGATGCTCTCTCTCTCCCTCTGTTCCCCTCCCCTGATCAGACTCGCGCGCGCTCTCTCTCTCTCTCTCTGAAATTTAAAAAAAGAGAGAGTGAGAGAGAGGTCTTTCTGATATAAAAAGTTATCTCTGATGATAGCTCTCTTTGTATAGGCCCCCTATCTAAATTCTTTGAGGCAGTTAGGGGAGATTTTTAAAAAAAGCTTTTTGTGAGTCTGCCAAGTCTTAATTGCCTTTAACTCAAAACAGTCCACATGCCAAAGTGATACTTTTTTGGGTGGTGTCCCCCTCCCCCCCACTACTGTAGCCTAAGTGATCTGGGTTCTTCTGTATAACTAAGAAATTAATCAGGTTTCTTTAGGTAGATTATACACTTCTTGAAAGTGTGCATGCTGGACTTTTTTTCTGTATAATTTCTTCTCTCCTGTTTCTAGAATGCTCTTCCTTAAAGTCTCATTTATTCTTAGTAGTGCAACTCAAATGCTACCATGTTGGCACATTTCTTTCTTTTTTTAAAATTTTTTTTAATGTTTATTTACTTTTGAGAGAGAGAGAGACACAGAGGCATGATTGGGGGAGGGGCAGAGAGAGAAGGAGACAGAATCTGAAGCAGGCTCCAGGCTCTGAGCTGTCAGAGCCTGTGGGGCCTGAACTCCCAGACTGCGAGATCATGACCTGAGCCAAAGCTGGAAGCTTAACTGACTGAGCCACCCAGGCGCTCCTTTGGTACATTTCCTTCTGCACTCACTATCCTCAGATGACTTCTTCCCTTCAGTGAGAATTAAGTGTAGTGTCATTGCTGCTCTTGGTTTGTTTACATACCCGTTCTAGTGCATGTCTGAGTCTGACTCAGGTTCAGATGCATAGCCGTTTGTCTCTTCGATTAGATTTTGAACATATTTAGGAAAGGATTGTATTTTATTCATCGTTGTAATCCTCAGGGCCCAGTACAGGGAATTGCACATTGTCAGTCCTGGATATCATCTGTTCTGTAGACTGCAGTTTCCTTAGGTGGCAGTGCCTGTATGAGCCCTAAATAATTGTTGAATGAATTGAGTGAATAATGTAGATTGAATAGGTTATCTTGTCCATAAGTTCTATTAAAGTTTTAAATGTTTTTTTTTAATGTTTTATTTATTTCTAGGAGAGAGAGAGAGAGAGACAGCGTGAGCAGGGGAGGGTCAGAGAGAGAGGGAGTCACAGACCGAAACAGGCTCCAGGCTCTGAGCTGGCAGTCAGCACAGAGCCCGACGCGGGGCTCTAACCCACGAACCACAAGATCATAACCTGAGCGAAAGTCGGACGCTTAACCGACTAAGTCACCCAGGCGCCCCAAAGTTTTAAATTTATGTTTGATTTGAATAACCAAAAAAAGATAATGATCATTCTGGGTAGCATGAGTCAGAGGTTTTGTATAATAATTTGAAGATGGATTTCTTTTTTTACTGTTTATTTTGATAGCATGCACACACACGCCTATGGGAATGTGGAGGGGGCAGGGGGAGGGAGAATCCCAAGCAGGTTCCATGCTGCTCATGCAGTGCTCCGCGTGGAGCTCGGTCTCAGGCACCGTGAGATCATGACCTGAGCTGAGATCAAGGGTCGGATGACCAACTGAGCCACCCAGGCGCCCCAAAATGGCTTTTTTGAATGTGGCCTAGGAATCTAAGTTGGAGTCAAAGTAATCAACAGACTGCAGGCCCTTTAAATAAATAAAGTACAAAATTGTGAAATCTCCATACGCAATAGTATCTTTTATGAGATTTTTTCCCATGTCTTTATAGTTTTAACATTTTTACCTCTAAAGCATACTAATTTTCACCCTATTTTCTGTTGATTAGGTGGATTTTATTTTGTTAGGTGGTGATCTTTTTCATGAAAATAAGCCCTCAAGGAAAGCATTACATACCTGCCTCGAGTTATTAAGAAAATATTGCATGGGTGATCGTCCTGTCCAGTTTGAAATTCTCAGTGATCAGTCAGTCAACTTTGGTTTTAGTAAGTAAGTATATTTAAATGCTTAAGTGAGTGTTTCCTCCTGTGTAATATTTTCTGTGAAAGACACATTAACAATTAGCCATTTCACCTTCACTATGAGCTATTTTCATAGGAAGTGTAATTCTTTGAATTTTCTGTATGTCATTGTATTAATTTGTATTTCTCTAATTAATAGTGGAACTGAGAATTTTCTTAAATTTCTGTTGTACATTTTGGTATCCTCTGTTCATATCGTTTCCCATTTTAAAACTTAGGATTTTTGTTTTTTCTTATTGAATTTGCAGAAGTTATTTATATATTCTAGAGGCTAAGCTTTTGTTAAGCATGAATTAGTTTTTTTTCCAATCAGTGGACTGTCTTGACTTTTTATGGAGACTTTTGTTGACAAGTACAGTACTTAATTTTGATGTAGTATCATTCTTTTCCCTTAATAATTGCACTTTGGGGACTGACTGACGATAGCCACCTAGAACCCTGTGTCGTAAAGATAGCTCGTGGTTTTTCTTGGGCATTGCACAGGATACCATACTACACGTTAAAATGTTCTCTCAGTCTCGTCAGACTATGCCAGTTTCTCTGTCTTTTCTTACCTTTTCCTTTCCCTGATACTTCTAAAGTATGCCGGTCAGGCATTTTGTAGATTGTCTCTCAGTTTGGGTTTTTCCTGTGATTAGAGCAGGGTTAAGGGTTTTCAAGAAAGAATATTCCACAGAGGGGAAGTGCTCTCTCGTAGCATACCCAAAATACATGCTATCAATATGGCTTATAACTGGTGAGGATAACCTTGATCTCTGTTAAGGTGGTGTCTGCCAGCTTTCCCTGCTGTCAACTTAGGATTTTCCTTTTTAATCCACCGTTCATTAGAAGTGAGTTGCTAAGTCCAGCCCACACTCAAAGAGAGGGATTTAAGTTTCACTTCCTAGAGAGGAGAAAGAGTATTGAGGGATATGGGCATATTAAAACTACTGTAGATGGGGCACCTGGGTGGCTCAGGCGGTTAAGCATCTGACTTCAGCTCAGGTCATGATCTCATAGCTTGTGGGTTTGAGCCCCGCATCGGGCTCTGTGCTGACAGCTCAGAGCCTGGAGCCTCCTTCCAATTCTCTCTCTCTCTCTCTCTCTCTCTCTCTCTCTCTCTCTCCCCCTCTCTCCCCCCCCTCCCTCTTTCTCTGTCTCTCTGTGCCCTTCTCCCACTGGTGATCTTTCTCTCAAAAATAAATAAAACATTAAAAAAATAAAACTACTGTAGTCATTAGTAAGTATTTGGGGGGAAATATTTTGAAGCTGTGCACATATTCTGTGTTGCCTTAAAGTTTGTCCACTAATTTTAGCATTTGTCAGTGGCTCTTGCCTATAGCAATTATAACTGTGGTGTTCTAATGCTGATTTTGTTTCCCACATTCTTTCTGCATTTATTAATTAGAATTCTTCTGTAAGGAAGATTTGTCTCTTGTCCCTCACTTGTTAATTTATTGACTCAGCTACCAGTAGGAATTTCTTTGTTTATATCAATATGAACTCATTCTTTCCCTTTGTGTTCTAATTTATTGATATTTTTTAAATGCTTTTTATTTATTTCTGAGAGAGAGAGAGACAGCATGAGCAGGGGAGGGTCAGAGAGAGAGGGAGACACAGAATCTGAAGCAGACTCCAGGCTCTGAGCTAGCTGTCAGCACAGAGCCCGATGCGGGGCTCGAACCCACAAACCGTGAGATCATAACCTGAGCCGAAGTCAGACACTCAACCAACTGAGCCACCCAGGCACCCCTGTGTTATAATTTAATATCATTTTAATCTATTTTGTTGCTCAGATGATTTATACAAGGGGTAGCCATTGGGTGCTTTTTCAGATTGGCTCCTCTCTCCTTTTGACATACCCTCATTTTCCCCTCCATTTCTTATTTTTTGGCATTAGAAGATGCTCCAGGTGAAATTTTTATTTTCCCTTTCCTAGCTTTAGACTCCTCCATTTCTTCAAGGAGCCCTGGTTCCTTTTGAAAATGGTATTTGAAAGCCCAAACCTACATGCTAGGCTTACACATTGCTGTTATCTAGTCACTGCTTCTAGGGTCTCTCAGTGCCCAGAGCTAAGAAATAGATGCATATATACTAACCTATGAAAACAGACCTATCTGGATTTATTATCTGTTTAACTATATTTATTTTTTTAATGTTTATTTATTTGGGAGACAGAGAGAGAGAGGCATAGCATGAGTGGGAGAGGGGCAGTGAGAGGAGACACAGAATCTGAAACAGGCCTCAGGCTCTGATCTATCAGCACAGAGCCCAATGCAGGGATTGAAACCACCAACTGTGAGATCATGATCTGAGCCAAAGTTGGATGCTTAACCGACTGAGCCACCCAGTTGCTCCATTTTTTCTTTTTTTATTATGTTTATTTTGAGAGAGAGAGTGCATGGGGGAGGGACAGAAAGAGAGAGAGAATCTGAAGCAGGCTCCGTGCTCTGAGCTGTCAGCACAGAGCCTAACTCCACCAAAAAACTATTAGAACTAATAAATGAATTCAATAAAGGTTCAGGATACAAAATCGGAATACAGAAATCAATTGCATTTCTACATACTAACAAACTATCAGAAAGAGAAATTAAGAAAACAAAGAATAGAAAAAAAATACTTATTTGATCAAGGAAGTGGAAGAGCTATACACTGAACTATAAGACATTGGTGAAGGAATCTGAAGACACAAAAAATGGGGAGATATTCTGTGCTGGTGGATAGGAAGAATGAATACTGTTAAGCTGTCCATATTACCCAAAGTGATCTACACATTCAGTATAACCCCTATCAAAATTCTAGTGGTTTTTTTTTTCATAGAAATAGAAAAAAAAATCTTAAATTTGTGTGGAACTACAAAAGACCCCAAATATCCAAAGCAATCTTAAGGAAGAAAGACAAAGGTGGAGGCATCACCCTTGCTGATTTCAAACTATATTACAAAGCTATAGTAATCAAAACAGTGTGGCATTGGCATAAAAATAGACATACAGATTAGTAGAACAGAATAGAGAGGGCAGAAATAAACCCATGCATATTTGGTCAATTACTTTATGACAGAGGAGCCAAGAATATATGAGGGAAATGAATGGGGGAAAGAATAGTCTCTTCAATAAATGGTATTGGGAAAACTGGACAGCCACATCCAAAAGAAATGAAGCTGCTCCCCTTTATACCACACACAAAAATTCAAAATAGATTAAAGACTTGAATGTGAGACCTAAAACTGTGTAACTCCTAGAAGAAAGCATGGGAAGGGGCGCCTGGGTGGCTCAGTTGGTTAAGCGTCCGACTTCGGCTCAGGTCATGATCTCACAGTTTGTGAGTTTGAGCCCCGCGTCGGGCTCTGGGCTGACAGCTCAGAGCCTGGAGCCTGCTTCAGATTCTGTGTCTCCCTCTCTCTCTGTCCCTCCCCTGCTCATGTTGTCTCTCTCTCTTTCTCTCTCTCTCAGAAATAAATAAAACATTAAAAAAAAAAAAGAAAAAACATGGGGAGTAAGTTCCTTGACATCATTCTTGGCAGTGATTTTTTTTTGGGGTTTGAAAACAAAAGGGACTGTGTCAAACTAAAAAAAAGCTTCTGCACAGTAAAGGCAACCAACCATCAACAGAATGAAAAGGGAACCTATGGAATAGGAGAAAATATTTCTAAGTCTTTTAAGTCATATATCTGATAAGATGTTAACATGTAAAATATGTAAAGAACTTCTGTATCTCAATAGCAAAAAAAAAAAAAAAAAGACCAGAAATCCAATCCAATTAAAAATAAGCAAAGGAACTGAATAGACATTTTTCTAAAGAAGACATACATATGACCAACAGGTGCTCAAAATCACTAGTCCTCAGAGAAATGCAAATCAGAACCACAATAAGATATCATCTCACACATGGCTATCATCAAAAAAATGAGAACAAATGTTGAGGATGTGGAGAAAAGGGAACACTTGTATACATTGTTGGTGGGAATGTAAATTGACTAAGCCACTATAGAAAGCAGTATCGAGAAGCCTCAAAAAGTTAAAAAAAAAAAAAAGACCTACCATATGATCAAGCAATCCTTCTTCTGGTTATGTATCCAAATGAAATGAAGAACAGGACCTCAAAGAGGTAACCTGCATTCCCAAGTACATTGTAGTATTGTTCACAACGGCAAAGATACGGAAACAGTCTCAGTGCCTCTCAATGGATGAATGGTTAAAGATAGATTAAGATGATGTGGCATGATATATGCATTTGAAATGCTATTCAGCCATGAAAAAGAAGCACATCATGCCATTTGCAGTATGGATGGACTTTTAGGGCATTACACTTTGAAATAAGTCAGACAAAGAAAAGTACTATGTAACATCACTTAGCATGTGGAATCTAACAAAGCTGAACTTGGGAACAGTCTAGAATGGTGGTTATCCAGGGCCAGGGCGTGAGGGAAAGTGGTAGATGTTGATAAGAATATTAACTCGTAGTTACAAGATGAGTGAGTTCTAAGGATCTGACGTGCATAGTGCTTATAGTTGATAATATTTTATTTTATACTTAAAAGTTTCTGTGAGTACATTTCAGATATTCTCGTCACACACACACACACGAAAATGGATGTGATGCAAGTGTTAGCCAAACTGTAGTGTTTATTTTGCAATATATCTGTTTCAAATAATACATTGTATAAAGTTATACAATGCTATATGTCAATTATTTCATAATAAAGTTACAAAAATATAATGGTACAGTAACTAAAAATGTAATATCACTCATGAATTGATAGGCAGATAAATGAAAGTGTAAAGAGATTCAGAAATAGACTCAGTGTACATGTAGAAATTTAATATTTGAAGAAGGTGGTGTCTCTCCTATCTCTAGGAAAAATATGAATTATTCAATAAATGTAGAACTATTAGATGTTTTTAAAAAATATAGATGTGGAAAAGGCTTTTCTATGTATGATCAAGCTAAGAAGCCATAAAAGTAAAATTGAAGTTTGTCTTTGTAAAAGTAAATTTCTGCAGGGCAAAAACTGCCTAGAACAGAGTCAAAAGTCAAACAGTTAAGGTAGGAAGAATATTTGCAACTCATTGCAAATTAAGGTCATATTTCCCCAGTAGATATATAGGTCTTTTGAGTCAATTAAAAAATCCAAGAGTTAATGAAAACATACATGAAAATTATAGCTATAGTTCACAGAAAAAATAAAGTGACATTTGAACATATTAAAAGAATATGCAAAATACAAAATGGAGTAAGAAAGATACAAAGTTAAGCTCTACTGAGATATTTTTCTTTTGTCAGAATGGCATAGATCAGTGACTTCTCAATTCCAGGTACACATTGTAGTTACCTAGAAATCTTAAAAAAAAATAGTAATAATGATGGAAATCTGTAGGCCAAGTTATTCTCTGTGTGTGTCATGGGCATTGATCGGTCTTAAAAGATTCCTAGATAATTCTAACATACCACTAGCGTTTAGAACCACTGGCATTTATTTATTTATTTATTTATTAGTTTATTTTAATTTTTGAGAGAGAGACAGAACAGCACAAGCAGGGGAGGGGCAGAGAGGGAGACACAGAATCTGAAGCCGGCTCCAGGCTCTCATTGTCAGCACAGAGCCCGATGTGGGGCTCAAACCCACAGACAATCAGATAATGACCTGAGCCGAAGTCAGACACTTAACTGACTGAGCCACCCAGGCACACCAACTACTGGTATAGATTTAAAAGCTTGATAACTTATGTTGATGGAATAAAGGGAAAAGTTTCTTATGCATCGCTATTGTGTGTAAATTTGTCCCTTCTATAGAAGGAAATTGGCAGTATTTCCAAATCTACAAGTGCATTCTTGTCCTTGAACCTAATTCCCTTCTAGATATTTTCTTATATTTGCGCAAGGGCAGTTTGGTACAAGAGTACTCATACAGCATTATTTGTAAAGCAAAAAAACCAGATATGGTCTAAATGTCCATTGTTAGGTAACTACTTAAACACATTCTGATAGCCCATTCAGTGGCGAACTGCCCCGCCCGAGAATGTACAAGGAAGCTCTTTACTGATGTGGAATGATTTTTAAAACATTAAATGAAAAAGCAAACTGCAGAAATCTATATTATACTATTTGTGTAAGAAGGAAGAAGATGCATTTATTTGCTAATGAAAGTAGAAGATATTTTTGCAGAGATACAATATGAAGTTTCTAATGGCATCTGCCTCTGAGAAGAAGAGCTAAGTGACTCCAGGGGCAAGAATGGGTGGGAGACTTTTTTTTTTTTTTTTAAGTTTATGTATTTATTTTGAGAGCAGGGGAGGGACAGAGAGAGAGGGAAAGAGAGAATCACAAATAAGCTCCACAGTGTCAGAGCAGAGCCCGACATAGGCTTGAAACCACAAACAGAGATCATGACCTGAGCCGAAACCAAGAGTCAGACACTCAACTGACTGCGCCACCCAGGCGCTCTATGGGTGGGAGACTCAAATTACATGAGTATGTGATAGAGCTGGAATTTTGAATCTTGGATTCCAAAATGGATGTTTTCCTCCCCTCCCCCTTCTTATATGAAGACCTTTCAAACTTTGAAAGCATCTTTACTTGCCATTAGTCAGGTATCCTACTCTTTCATACAATTCACAAGCACCATATATCGCAGTGTTTTCTTGAAAGTGGTACTTTGAGGTACTTCAACTTGGAATGAATTGTTGCAATGAATTGTTGCCTGTATTGTATTTCTTTAAAGCTCTGAACTCATAGTCTTCTGCTGGCTTATATCATCCAGTGTGCCCATCAGTTGTATTAATATTTTAGGAGAGGATATTGGAGAAAACAGCTTTTGTCTTTTATGGAAACATTAACTTTTGTTTTGTTTTTAAGGTTTCCGTGGGTGAACTACCAAGATGGCAATTTCAACATTTCGATTCCAGTGTTCAGTATTCATGGCAATCATGATGATCCCACAGGGGTACTTACTGGGTTCTTACAGTTTGTTGTCACTTTTGTTGGTGGAAGGCATTCTTGTCCTTCCCAGAAATTTTTTGTCCAGTTGACTCAGAAAGTCAGGTTGACTTTTTTCATCCATACAGTCTTTTATTTATATTGCTTCTTACATAATTTTTAAAAATCTGTAATAATAGTTGATATGTGAGGTATGCTTTTATTTCATTAGCTGTGGTTGACAACCAGTAACTCGGAGTAGGGATAAATACCTAGTATTTGTAGGAAGCTTTACTGTTTACCCGGTGCTTTTGTGTCTCTTATTTCAAAATCTCACTGGTAGAAAATGATTTTTCATGAACCGTTCTAAATCTAAATTAGATCATCTTATTACCTGTTTGATAGGGAAGGACGTTATAGAGGTCCTACCCTTGAAATATCTTTTTGTTTTATCTGATCATTAGCACTGTAAATCACTACTCATCTAGTTTTTTTCCCCCATGGCTTACAAAGTCAGCTTAATATTATACCGAGCACTCATTTCATGGGTGGTTTTTATTTTTTGGTGGCTGAGACATCGTAAGTTTTGATGAAATGTTAACCTTGCATTTAGCATGTGGTTACAGTTACAGTAGGTCATTTGTAATTGAAGAAGGATAGCAAATACTTTTACTATTATAATTTTATTTTGAGAAGACACTATCCTAATCTATGTTTTAGTGAGTGGTATATGGAATATACTTTTAATAGGTAATATGATGCAGATTACTTATTTTTAGATATATACATTAATATTCTTTGAAAACATTTTGTGTAGGCAGCTGCCCTCTGTGCCCTGGACATATTAAGCTGTGCTGGATTTGTAAACCACTTTGGACGTTCAGCGTCTGTAGAGAAGATAGACATTAGTCCAGTTTTGCTCCAAAAAGGAAGCACAAAAATTGCTCTGTATGGCTTAGGTAAGATGGTTTTATTTTACTATTTATAACAATACAATATTGTTCAAGCAACTGGGAAATCACATTCTGGAATGAACTTTCTTGCTGTTCAGGAAAAAGTGAGGCAAATCTAATTATTCCTTATGTGAGAGTATAAAAAAAGGTTTTATTTAGTAGCATTTTTTAGTATTTAGTAAGACCATTAGCCCTTAAAAAAGTTTTTTTCTTTTACTGTCATTTATTTTTTTCTTTCTTTTAGACACAGATATAGAATCCTGAATGTTAGAATTGTAGAGCAATTAGAAAAACTGCATTTTAGGGGCGCCTGGGTGGCTCATTTGGTTAAGTGGCCAATTTTGATTTCGGCTCGGGTCATGGTCTCATGGTTCAAGAGTTTGAGCCCCACCAAAGGTGTGAGCGCAGAGCCTGCTTTGGATCCTCTGTCTCCTTCTCTCTGCCCCTCTTCCCTTGTGCTCATTCTCTGTCTCAAAAATAAACGTGAAAAAAGAAAAACTGCATTTAGGTATCTCGGAAGTCTTTGAAATGTCTGAAGCTCTGCTGTCCAGTCCAATAACTACCAGCCTCAGCTAGATACGGAGCACTTGAAATGGGGCTGGTCTGTGTTGAGATGTGCTATAAATATAAAATCACATCAGATTCCAAAGATTTGGGAAAAAAGTAAAGTACCTTATTAACATATTGGGTGACATAAAATATATTAAAATTAATTTTACCTGTTTCTTTCTATTTCTTCTAATATGGTTACTAGAAAATTTAAAACTCTGTATTTGGCCTGTATTAGCAACTCATATTTGTGTTAGACAGTGCTAGTCCAGATATGTCATCGGTGCAATGCTGAGAAGATTTGCTTTATCAACTTGACTATATCTTCGATGTATTTAGTGTCCACTCGGTAAAAGCATTTTTGCTAGGCTTGATGCCATATGAACAAAAGATCAGAGAATATTTTTAGAGTGCATTCAAAGTCTATTTGTTGAGTCTTTCTTGGATTAAGTTCAGCTTGATATTTTGTTTTATGAATGCAATAGATTTACAAGTTTTATTGTGTAATAGAGTTATAAAAATTATTTTCCATGTTAAGTCAACCTTAAAGTACCCGTTAAGTTCGGAAGAAATTTCACACTATAGCCTTTACATAGTTATTATTATTTTTTGAGTGATTTTAGTATAATAGAAGCCTTAGAATAGAAGCCTTATTTACTTCAATTCTATTTGGTATTTGTTTTTAAAATATACTTAGGATGGATGGTTTATGTAAATGCTTTCTCTAGGGAGCTTACCGTCTTTGTCCAGTTTTCATAATTTCTGAAAAGTAGAAAAGCATCATGGTTATTTATCCTTTAGAGATAGAAAATGAGATCTAAGTATTATGTATGATTTCCCAACTGATAGAGCAGGCAGTGAAATACACTTTTTAAAAAGCTACTAACAGGTATTTTAATCACTGCAGTGTTAGGGATCATATCTGCAGAAAATAGTTGATCCTGCCACTCTCCGACTAAGATCCCCTTATGCCTCAGGCACCACCTGGAATATCCCTCAGTCATCCATTTTCTCCCAAAGTCTCATTTGCTCTGGACTCCACACACACCCCCCACATACGCACCCTCACCCCAACCCTTCTCTCTACACACTAGAACTCTTTATAGTTAGCAGATTGCCTCCTATCAGCAGTTTCTTCTCTGCATGTTACCTCCACTCCGATTTACAGGAGACTAGTCCCTAAGGCTCTGCATCCCACACACTTCTCTCAGGCTTCTTACAAGCCTTAGGGCAGGGGTGAGGGGTGTGGGGAGTCATTGTTCTCCCTTCTCCCTGCTTGCCATTTCCTTTCTCTTCTGCAAACACCCTGCCCCCTTGAAGCTAATTGCCAGCTGGCTAAACTGCCCTGTCCTTTCCCTCAAATTTTTCACCTACTTACCTTAAAATTGTGTCTGTGTTGTCTCAGGGCTTTAACACCTAAGTAGATCAGTCAACCTTTTAATGCCCTGGGCTTTGCATGCCTTGGCTTTTTTGTCTCCAGTTTATATATTCTGCATTCTACCATCTGTTGCATTGATCACACTCCTGAAATTCTCTTTAAGAAACTAGACTTTGTCTAGTTCTTATACTTCTACATCGTTGGCTTGTCTTCTAAGGCCTTCCCTAATTAATGATTGCATAAAGCAGCAACTTGTCCCCTCACTGGTACTCGCCATCTTAGCATCTTTTTTCCCTTTTACAGTATTTAAAAGTATAATTTGTGTGTTCTTGTTTTTTGGTTTTTTGGTTTTGGCTGCTTCCACTAGACTTAGGTGAGCCTTTGAGGTACAGGAAGAATGATTTAAAAGTCATTATATTATTAAAAAGCATAATATCTTTATTTGAAAACCATATATAAGGGAGCTGGGCGCGGGACTGAGCCTGGGTGGCTCAGTGGGTTAAGCGTCAGACTCTTGGTTTTGGCTCATGATCTCACAGTTGGTGAGTTTGAGCCCGGCATCAGGCTCTGCACTGACAGCATGGATTCTGTCTCTCTTTTTCTCTGCCTCCCCTGCTCGCTCCATGTCACTCTCTATCAAAAATAAATATTTAAAAACAAGTTTAAAAAATATATATATATAATTATTATATACATTTATTTTTTTATTTCATCCTTTGTAACATCTCTGTACTTTATAATGTGTACGTTAGGTTGGAAGTATGTATAATAAATAAAGGAAAAGTAGAAAACAATATTATTAGAAATTTTAGTAAGAATTTAAGCATAGAAAACTCAAACTTTTGTTCCATATTTTCCAGATCTTGGAGGTATGTATGCCTGACATAAGAGACTTTTTTTTTTCCTCCAAAATGTTTATTTTTGAGAGAGAGAGAGCACAGGAGAAAGCGGGCTCTGTGCTGACAGCAGAGAGCCTGATGTGGGGCTCGAACTCACGAACTATGACCTGAACCAAAACCAAAAGTCATATGCCCCACTGACTGAGCCACCCACGCACCCTGGGAAATGTGTTTTAAATACACATATCTTCACAGAAGCTACCATGTAAGAACTTGGAACATACTTATTTGCAAATAATGACTCATTTCAAATATATCTCTAATAAGAAAATTAAATAGAGAAACACAGAATTTAGAAATGAAACATTCTTTTTTGAAAACTAAGTATAAGAAACCAGTTATTAAAATAATGCCTATTTCAGGGTCCATTCCAGATGAAAGGCTCTATCGAATGTTTGTCAATAAAAAGGTAACAATGTTGAGACCAAAAGAAGATGAGAACTCTTGGTTTAACTTATTTGTGATTCATCAGAACAGGTAAATATATTTTTTGGGAAAAGTTTTTCTTTCTTTTTTTATTTTGAGTCAAGTATTGAGATTTCTCAAATCTCTGTTTCCAAGCTTCCCAGTTTCCGTAAAATGTTCCTTATTCTTTGAAAGTTGTCATTAAAGGATCATGCAAAACTTAGATGTGCTTTATGTGACTGCATTTTGAATTGGTTCCAGTATACTTCTCTGTAAAGAATATTTATGATATGTGCAAGAATAACCATAAAATTGAATAATTGTAAATTCAACAAAGTAGAACACTACCAGTACATGCCCTTTCCTGACCCCATATCTTTCCACATACTCCAAAGGGAAGCACTATTTTTAATTTGTGTTTAATCAAACCCATTGCGTTTCCTTATTGTTTAATCATATATATATATCCGTAATGACTATTTTATTTGGTTTGGATAATTGGAGCCCTGCTGCACATTTTGCAGCTGGCTTACTACGTTCCACATTACATTACTAAGATTCATCCATTTCGATGCTTAAAAGTGTAATTTTCACTGATATGTACCGTTCTGTACAGTTCGACTTTTTCACATGTTGGTGAATGTTTCGTGTTATGTCCAGAGTCTTGCTTTTTTAAACCTATTTGTTATGACTACTCTTACACACATCTCCTGGTGCATGTATGCAGGTGTTTTTCTGGAATATTCTAAATATAGCTAGGTCAGCTATCTTTTGTTAGTATTTTGAAGAAGTTTAATATGTTGGTAGAGTGCAGTTGGTAGAGTGATTGAAAGGAATTAAGACTTGATGCAAGATTTATTATGTGACCACAGTTAAAACAGTGTGAAGTGATGGTAGTGGGGGTGAAAATGACGGGGAAAGGACAGACCTCAGAAGTTACCACGAATCCAAAGGGATTTGGGTCTGATAATGGAATTTATTACTTATTGAACAGGTATTTATTGAATACAGGATACTCTAGTACTTGAACCCACCAAGTACTCAGGGGAGGGATTTAGGAGGCACCCTTGTGTTGCCTTATATACATTCTCAAAGAAACAGCTCTGAAGCAGGAGCAGGCCAGAATCGTAGTGTGGTCTCCCTAGAACTTTGCACCACTGGGAGTGTGCTCCTTCTCTGGCTTAGGGCTTCCCAGTTCTGCTACGCTTTCTACTTTCCCAAAGTAGGGAAAAGTCGGAAGGAGAAATGATAATGCTAGATTCCAAGAATCAAAATCAGAATGTGAGATGGAATGGCAGCATTGGGATTGGGAATGGGTCGCGTGAGATTGGTGATGGTGATGTTCATTTGATGAAGGTGGTGTGCACCAGGTTTCTCCATTGTCAAGATCCCATTTCCATTCTGTAATTAATACCTTGGTAAAAATACTTTGAGACTGTGTGAATATCCTGTTCTGCCTTAAAATTTTGCCTGCTAATTCTAGCATCCTAGCAGTGAATACTGTGGTGGTGTGTTATTTTATAATTCCCCTCATTCTGTCTGCATTTATTCATTGAAAGTCTTCTGCAAGGAAAACTTGTTTCTCTCTCATTTATTCATTTATTTATTTATGTTGTTACGGACTCAAGGGTATTTATTTTATCCTTTGAGTTATAATCCAGTACTACCAGGCTTTTTTGTTGCTCAAATTCTTCCAGCTTTCACCATTGGGAGGTCTTTTATATTACCTTCTGTGTCCTTTCAGCATGCCTTCTTCCTTCTTTATGTATGCATTTATGCATTTATGTATTTATTTAATCTTGTCCTTAACTTTCTACCCCCACAAGATGCTTCTGCCTCATCTTGTGTTTTTCTGCCTTCGCCCTGGAATCAACCACTTCTCCAAGGAGGTTTTATTGGAGGGTATATTGCTTTTATTGGAGAGTAGTATTTAGAAACCCAGATATGGCCACTAGGTGTGCTTGTTGCTAACTGGGGCTCTCTTAGCCCTCAGTGATCAGAATTAAGGAAATATGTGTTTTACACACACACACACACACACACACACAAGCATGGGTTCCTACTTTTTCTGATCCAGCCCTACAAGGTTCATTTTTGTCTTCTCCCTTTTCTTTCTTTCTTTCTTTTATTTTTTTCTTTTAGAGAGAGAGTTCGAGCAGGGGAGAGGGGCAGAAGGAGAGAGAGAATCTTAAACAGGCTCTATGCTCAGTGCGAACCCCATTAGGGGGCTCGATCCCACAACCCTGGGATCAAGACCTGAGCTGAAATCAAGAGTCAGATGCTCAACTGACCGAGTCACCCAGGTGCCATATTTTTAATTTTTTTTTCTTTTCTTTTTTATTTTAGAGAGAGAGCAGGAGCAGGGGAAAGGGGCAGAGGGAGTGTCTTCTCCCTTTTCTTATTTGAGAGTTCTTTCTCTAACAGAAACCTGGATCATTTTACCTATATACATTGACTTGTTTTTTCAATCTTGGTTGACATGTAAGGTAATTTTTAAAACTTGCTGACCTGTATCCCTGTTAGAAACAAATTTGCCAAGTAGCGTACAGTGTTTATGTAAGTTATTTTCGTTTTCAGCCTCACTGTATCGAGTCAGAACACCACCTGTAAGAGCTACTGGGTAGCTTAGTCAGTTAAGTGTGTGACTTCGGCTCAGGTCATGATCTCCCGGTTTGTAAGTTTGAGCCCCTCATCAGGCTCTCTGCTGTCAGTACAGAGCCCTCTTCCAATCCTCTGTGCCTCTCCTGCTGGTGTTTTCTCTCTCTCAAAATAAAGTTTAAAGACAAAGAAAGCAACCACCTCCAAAGTAACTTAGGCTAGCTCCTTTTTCTCCCTCCCACTTCAACAAGATTATGCCATTCTTTTGTAATACTTTTAGATGCATTTGTCCTCCTCTGCAATCCTCAGTACTTTCTTTATTGTTTTCCAGATTTTTGTTTTTTTTTTTCTGAGAAAGTGCTGGTACACCTGCAGGCTGGGGAGGAATTGAGAGAGGGAGGGAGAGAGAGTATCTTAAGCAGGCTCCATGCCCAGCACGGGGCCAGGCACAGCGCTTGATCTCACAACTGTGAAATCATGACTTTATTTCCCATTTGTTTCTATACTTGGGCCTGTTTCTTTTTCTGCCTGCAAAAGAGGGTAGACTGTTAATACCCAGATTGCAGTATCCTCAACGACCTGAGACCTCAGGGGAGACCAGCCGAGTCACGCAAAGGACTTTATTACAGGCTCGAGCTCGGGCTCCCAGACCTCACCTATGCAGTGGACCTGTGCTCAGAGCCCCGAGCAAAGGCAGAGTAGGGTTTTTATGGGGTTTGTGACGGGGGAGTTACAAAAGTTGTAGCAGGGCAACAGTGATCCAACCATAATTATTCAACATCATTGACAGCGGGTTTAACCATACACATTGTCTAGAGTATTCGTTACTTTTGACGGGATCCAATTACAACGTTTAGAGTACCTTTAAATTCAACCAATCACAGAGTGAGCCTAGGGCCTTGTTCGGCAACTAAGGGGTTAACTTTAACATTAGGTAACAGGGTCCTATCTATAGTTTCTATCTCTAGGCCTCTCCCTTAATAATGTGGAGGGTGGTCGCTGGCCTTTCCTGATTGGGTGTTGCAAGGGTGGTTTCTCCTGCCTTGGGCAATGTGTAACTAACTGCCTGATAGTTTCGGGGAAGCTGAAACTCAGGCCTTCTAGTTTAGAGGGGAAACTTAAAGCCTGTCATGGAGTCGGTTTGGTTTAGACTTGTGCCCTTATAGACTTGAAACAGAAGAGCACTCTGTCACGTAATAAATTTCCACAATGCTGTTTTGATCAACTTCTGAGTCACAAGTCAAATATAAGTCATAGAGTCAGCCCACAGGCATAATCTTCCCTCTTCGTGCAAGAGTTGGTGCTCTGTGAAGGCACGATTACATCATATAATATTTGAGTTATTCTATTTTTCTTCAGTGATAATATACCGTCGATATGCTTTTTACATGAAAACACTCTTAGATACAGGAGCCTGCAGCTTCTCTGATTTCCCTTCCTGCTCTTCCTTGCCTTCACTCTGCTCAGCCACTCTCCGGGACTCCCTGCAGTCCTTGAACTCAGTGAACACATTCCCACTTCGGTACCTCTGCTATCTGCTCTGTGACTCTGCCAGGACTCAGCCCTCTTCTAGGGCCTTTTTCCCTTGCTTACAGGTTTTTTTGTTCCTCTTCCACGCTTGATCCCTCCCCACAGTTCTCTGCTCATGTGCCACGTGGCAAGGTGGCCTGTCCTGACCACCTTGCACATAGTAGCATTCCTGTTCCGTATCACTTTCCCCTTTATTTTTCTTTACAGCACTTAGCAGTGCCTGGCAGATTATACATGTGCACATCAGCCCGTGCATATACATCCCGTAGTATTGCTTGTTCTGCTAGCGCGAGGCCTGTTCACTCCTGTGTCTTTGGTGTAGAAGAGGCCTGGGACACTTGGCACGCTATGGGCACACAGTAAATGTTTGTTGAAGGAACGAGTATTGATTTGCCTTAAGCCCGTGCTGGGTTGAAGTATTTGAACACTTTTACTTAAATTCTCGGTGATAAAGTCGGTGTTTGGGAAAACTTTCTTCTGATCTTTCCTCACTTTGGTTTTTATATATCTTTTAATAATAGCAACCAATCTAGGTATAAAACCAGAGTCTGCAAATATCTTCATACAACATCTCATTTAATAATATTTTTATGAAATTTGTTTATAAATTATTTTAATTCATCTCTTAAGTAAGACAGACTTTCTTACTCTCATTCTGAGTAAACAAAATGTGCTAAAAGACTGGACATCATTAGAGATTTGGTTTTTTTCTACAAAGTGTAGACTTAATTCACTTTCGTTTTCTGATTCTATATGTATGTAATCAAACCAACTGACCCATTTTCATGACTGAGAGAGCTCATACTTTTCTGACTTTCCCTCTGTAAAGCCTTTTGTGATCTGCCTCTCAGTGCAAATCGGCCCCTTTCTCCTCTGTGGTGCCTGCTTGTCTGTGCCCTGCAGGTGTGTAAACCTTTTGAGGGCAGGAATTAGATATTATCTTTGCATCCCTAATCTCTTGAATAGATTCTGCCACTTAGATGTAATAAAGCTTTAATGAGTGGAGAAAGAAAGATCTGTATAGATTTACTTAATATGAAGTGTCTATCTCTGGACATTTATTTATTTTTTAAAATCTTGGTATAGGAGTAAACACGGAAATACTAACTTCATTCCAGAACAATTTTTGGATGACTTCATTGATCTTGTTATCTGGGGCCACGAACATGAGTGTAAAATAGCTCCAACCAAAAACGAACAACAACTCTTTTACGTATCACAACCTGGAAGTTCAGTGGTTACTTCTCTTTCCCCAGGAGAGACTGTAAAGAAGTAAGTTACTATTATATTTTCCAAATCAATTAAAATTTTAAAAAATACCTGCTATGATACTATCATCAGGATACTGATGGTTATTTATATGATAGATTTCTTTATGAAGATGACCATTCAGTGTATTCTTACTGTTTCCCTAGCTCTTAAGCTGTTTTCAGCAGGAGAGCATACCGGTGGTGTTAGTGATTTTTCAGCTTATTAGGCAAATTCAAAGCTAAATGTTTTTACTAATCAAAGTTAAAGTGCTATCAACGATGATTACTAATTTCCCAAAGTCCATTTATAAACAAATTTACATAACGCTATTTAATTGAGATTTTTCTGGTTATAAATGCAATATTATAGCATTTCTGACTTCTTTTAGTTCTTTAATTATATGGTAAAGTAGTTAACACTGATTAAGCCCAGTGTTAATGATGGTTTGCACCTCTTGAATCCACTCAGATTTTGATTGTTATAATGGTAATAGTAGGTTTAAAGAATATGGTAGTAGGATGTATGGGTTTTTTTCTTGATAGTTCTGCTAGTTCATTTTATGTATATACGTGTACATATATACACAGATGCAGTGTGTGTATATATATACGCCACTGTCATAGTCCTGGTAACATTTTGTTAGATCTATTATCTTTCTTCCCTCACTAAACTGTATTTGTTCAGACTGGAGGGATGAGTGGATTTTACTCTGGAGAAGGATGTTTAACATTTGTTCCGTGATAACAGCATTAAGACAAGTTGCTAAAAAATTTTTTTAAGAGTATGATTTTATACCAGTTCCAATTTTGTAGAAACTTAGAAATATGATAGTTTTGATGTGCACATTTTCCTGAGAAAAGTTACAGTGTGACTAGGCTTTCGATTCCCTCCTCATTTCAGGCATGTTGGTTTGCTGCGCATTAAGGGAAGAAAGATGAATATGCAGAAAATTCCTCTCCACACAGTGCGGCAGTTTTTTATGGAGGATATTGTTCTGGCCAATCATCCAGACATTTTTAACCCAGATAATCCTAAAGTAACCCAGGCCATACAGAGCTTCTGTTTGGAGAAGGTAATTTCTCTGAATAAAGGTCAATGAGATGTGCTTTGGTTGAGGGGTTATTTACATTTAATTAAATGCTTTAGTGGAGTAGGGGAAGTGGCCATACCTGTTACATTCTCAGGTCTCAGGAAGGCTGCAACGACTGCTATTGTTCCACAAATGAGTTTAGTTGTATCAAAGGGCTTTTTTTTCCTAGTGTCCCAGATGGAGGAGTGTTACATGTAGAAGAAGCTTTATTTAATTAAGCCCCCTCCCAGTTCCAATCCTCTTCTCAAAAACATACACTTAATCTTTTCTTTTTATTCTGATTGGATAATTTGTGCATTTCATCTAGAGAGCAGGCAGTGGCTTTGATTGGGGAACGGGTGGGGACTGTGGAGGGTGAAGAGAGCCTTATCATCTTACCTCATTCGTCTCTGAAAGCTACCCCAGATGAAACCCTAAAAGTATGTTTACTTTGTGCCTTATAGCTTCACCAGAGAAGTACCATACCTCACCAGATTGCCATCCTTGGACCTCTGAGGCATTCTAGAGCCACTGCAGAAGTGGTGTGAATGCGTGCAATAATCTGTAAATTGACAGTTTAATGACATTAATTGTGGGCACTGAGTTCTTAAAATTACCACTGGTATTCATCAGCCACTTACATATTCTGGGCACTGATGACAGCATTTTCCATTTAATCCACTCAGCAGTGCTGTGGGTGGGTAGAGTGTGCCATCCACATTTTATAGGAAGAGGAACTGAGCCTTAGGTGGAATAACTCGCCCAGTGTCACTGTGTTCCCAGCAGCACGCAACTCCCATAGCTGAAAAACTGTAGACCATGCTGGATTAGGGAGGATCCAATCCCAAAACTCCCATCAGGGCTGTGGTTTCTGTCTCTGTTCCCCTGTTTGGCCCCATGACACCCGCTCTGTAGGTAGCTGTCTTACACTTCAGTGAGGAGGTGGTATTTCCATGTGATGGCACACAGATTCCCAATGTCCCTACAGCCAACAGAGCATGGCTTTCCCAGCAGTTCCATTGGACTGAAGTTGTGGATATGTCCCTAGGAGGTGGAAGATGAATTGATTGGTCGGGCCTCTGTCAGGTCTGTCAGCCAAGACAGTTTAGACGGAGTAATTCTCTGTTGTGGGAGGTTGCACTATAGAGATTCAGCAACATCCTCCCTGACCTCAACTTGCTAGATGCCAGTAGTACCCTTCCCCCAAGTCATGACAGTATTTTTATTTTGAGATTAAAGAAATGCTTGAAAACGCTGAGCGAGAACGTCTGGGAAATTCGCAACAGCCAGAGAAGCCTCTCATACGACTTCGAGTAAGTCCTATTTAGATAAATTAAGCTTTATTATTTTAATTAGTAAGTAGAGTATTATAATAATAAGAGCAATCACCATCTGGCACCAGAAATAATAAAGCTACCAGGATTTGATTTAATCAGAGTTTGATTCTGATAGGTTTGATACTTGTTTCCTTTTCTAAAGAATTTGTTCTCTTTAATAGGTTGGCGGAGATCTCTGCCTTCATCTTCTACTGTCTCCCTCTTCCTCCTCCATCATCAGCTAGCTTTGCCTGTCTTTATGTTCATCCAAACCCGTCCAAATACATAGTTCTTATTGCTCATGTAACATTCCATTCCCCAGTCCACTATGACCAAGGCTCTCAGCCCACCATCTCACTGGGAGAGATGACCTTCAGTTGTCGGCATTCTCTTCGAGTTATGTTTGACCCATCCTATCTCTGAGCTTCCTTTTCAGCCTAGGCATGTGGCTTTAATGACCACCTATAGAGTGATGACCCCCAAATCTTTACCTCTGGCATAGACCCCCTTGTTGAGGTCCAAAAGCCCGCCCCCCCCCCCCAAAGCCTGATACTCCAGGAATAATCACAACAGCAGCACTGACATCACCTGGGAAATTCTTAAAAATGCAGAATCTCAAGTCCTACATCAGACCCACTGATTTGCATTCTTTCAAGATTTTATTTTTGTATGTAAATCTCTACCCACAGTGTGGGGCTCCAGCTCCTGACCCCAAGATCAAGAGTCATATGTTCTGCCAACTGATCCATCCAGATGCCCCTGAAATGTATTTTAACAAGATCTCCATGAGATTTGTATGCACATTAAAATTTGAGAAACTCTGGGATATAGAACGTGAAGGTAAAGAGTACAGTCAAAGCCAGAATGCCTGGGTTCAGGCATGTATGGGTTCAAACCAATGTATGATCTTGGTTTGTACGTCATAGATTGACAAAATCTAAATGAATTAAATGTTGACTTGCACAGGAAATAATCTGGTCCTTTTTATTCCATTGTCATTGCTGAGGTTGAGCCCTCATTTTTCTCTTATCTGGCCTGTAACTGCAGCCTCCTACCTGACTCTGCCATTATTTTTCCCCCTTTCCCCACCTCTGGTCTATTCAGACTAATTCCAAAATCATCCTTGTAAAACACAGTCTTGGCATGTCTTCTTTCCTGCCAAAAACGGCTTAATGATCCCCTAGTGTGAACAGGAAGAAGTCTACACTCTTGCATGGCATTGAAGAGTTTGTATGTCCTGGTCAATACCAACCTCTTTGGCTTCTTCCTCCTTTTTCTGCCAGAACCTTCTAAGCTCCAGCTGTATTAGGTTAAAAGTTGCTGTTCCCTGAGTCCTGTAGAGTTTATTTTACTCTTTCATATCTTTGTCCCTGCTGGTCCTGCTGTGTGGAATATGCTTCTCTCCTTCCATAGTATCTCTTTCAACATCCACTTGTTTCCCCTTTTCCAAGAACCTTTCTTGACCTCCCTTCAGAATCAGTGCTTCTTCCTTTGTGTCTTCAGCCTGCTTTGTACTTGCTTGTTATAATACCATTCACCTTCTGCTTTCAGTTATCCACATATTTGTCTTCCCAGTCAACTTGTGAATTTCTTGACAACCAAAATTATGCTTTTTTATGGTTATATCCCTGGCCCTTAGCAGAGCGCCTAACACACTGTGGACTCCTCAGTAAAGGTTGCTTAATGAACAAGATTTGTGGCTCTTCGGAGCAGAAAATTACAAATCAGGCTAAGCTGGATCATAATTCATGAAGTGTGAAGAATTTTGTGGAGACCCAGTAGCATGAGGATTTAGCATTTTCTGTTCTATAACATGGATGCGGTAGAGATGTAATGATCCCCGTAGTTGCTTTGGGAGAACCACATAGTTCTCTTGTCAGGTCTGAAGATCTCACTTCTCATCTATGTCTGCCTGATACCATTAGAACCAACCAAACTTAAATAGAAAGTTGGCATTCCTTTTCCTAAACACAGTAAATTATTAATTTACTCATGAAACAAAATTTACTCGTGAAACAAAATAAGAAATATTTTCATATAAGTAATATTCCAAAGTATAATCTATCAACCAGGGGACCCTCATTCACTTTTTGATTAAGTGAACAAGTACTTTTTGAGTACATTGTATTCTGCATGCTGAGGGACACAGTGATGATAAACCAGAGAAGATTTCTAATTATTGGGGCTTATGGGAGGTAGAGGTATGAGGAGAGACATAAAAAGTAGATAGCAAGTAAATGAACAAAATGCCAGCTAGTGCTCAGAGGGACGAAGAGTGTAAATTGGGTGGAGGTTAGGGAATAGTGATGCAGTACCCTGCTGATTCTCAGAGTTGTTTTTATAACAACTGGTTCAGGGAAATGACTATATCTCTTGGGAGAATAATGTATGTATTTCACCTTGTGAAAATAATGGTCATAAACTTCATAATTTAGAGTCTGCCTTGAGAGTGACTGTTCTAAATAGATACTGTGTTTTAAAGGTAATTATTTCTCGAAGCTAACACATTTGATTCTGTTCCTGCATGGACTTTCCCAGCATTTATTCCTTAGTGTGAAGTATATCCCTAAGATGATAGCAATTAACTAATGCATCTAGATCCAGCATTTTGTTTCATTGGAAAATTTTCTTTCTGTTTTCAAAGTTTAAATATTTATGTATAGAAACTTCCCCTCCTTTCCATATGGTACTCCTGGTGCCTAGACTCTTAGTGTTGTCATGGGCTGAGGAATTTATTCAGACCTTGTGGAAATTCTTGCTGTCTCTTGATTCCATCAAGTAAAGTGTCTTGTGTACACGTAGAATCCTTTGAAGCTTTATGTCCTCAGTAGAATAAAAGAAGTAACACTATCGTGATCTTTTAACATGAATTGTAGAACATTAATAACTGACTTAAAAGTATTGAGCATCAGCATAAATAATAGAATTGTAAGCTGTTTCCAGGCCTTCATAGCTTATTTTGTATTTCCAGGTGGACTACAGCGGAGGTTTTGAACCTTTCAGTGTACTTCGCTTTAGCCAGAAATTTGTGGATCGGGTAGCTAATCCAAAAGATGTTATCCATTTCTTTAGGCATAGAGAACAAAAGGAAAACACAGGTAAGCTAGTTACCTTTACAAATGAAAAAGCTTTTTATGGGGTTTACAAAAATCAGTTTTTAGTAAAAGAAATACGAAATAATAAAAATGTTTTTGTGTGATTATTTCCCATATCTTGGACAAGCTGATATTGGAATAATTAAATCTCTTCTAAACATTAGATAGCCATCATTTTTAAACCTGTGGATATTAATAAAGAAAGGAAATTTTTCTCTGCAGACATAGTTTGTAAAAATAGTGCTGCTGAGTAACAGTACACATAGACTTTAGAAATTTATTGCTCAAAATACACATTATTGACTATCCATTATTAATGTTTAGAGAATATACTCAAATTTTGCACAAGTATTTCAGCATTTGCATATACAGGATTTAGGAAAATTCTAGTCTTTTACAGTAAGAGGTGTCCCATAGTTTGATGTCTCTGATAATCACATAATTAATTTCCAATTAAATTTCATAAGTACTATTTCCAGTTAGCTTATTTTTTTTAAGTTTTTATTTTGAGAGAGAGAGCTCATGTGCAAACATGCGAGGGGCAGAGAGAGAAGGAGAGAGAGAATCCCAAGCGGGCTTCATGCTGCCTTGTCTCAAGCCTTGATCTCACGAACCGTGAGATCATGACCTGAGCCAAAATCAAGAGTCGGGCACTTAACTAACAAAGCCACCCAGGTATCCTTATTGTCCCTGTTCTAAATGCATTTATAAAAATAGGCCATCCAGCTGAAATCGTGCTTCTTCATTAGAAATGTTACTCACGTTAAATGTAGACTCTTCTTAAAGCTATTGAGTCAGATAATTTTTATAGAAACATATGATCTTTTATATCTGTAAGCTATTTAGGTTTTTATTAACCAAGATTTAATGCGCTTCTGTTTTCAATGTCAGATTGTGACCAAATTTTCTATGCTGTTAATTCAACCTGAAACATTGGTTCAGGTATTTATTTATTTTGAGAGAGGGAGAGAGAGGGCCCACACATGAGTGGAGGAAAGGGCAGAGAGAGAGAGAGAGAGTCCCAGGCAGGCTCTGTGCTGTCCACGTGTGGCCCTACAATGTAGCCAGACTTGGGGCTCAAACTCACGAACTGTGAGATCATAACCCGAGCCAAAATTGAGAGTCAGATGCTTGACCAGCCGATCCACCGAGGCACCCCTCATTCAGATATTTAAGTGGAACTCAAAGTACTGTTTTAGGAAAAAATCCGAATCAGATAATTACTTTCCTATGCTATGAATTTTAACCAGCTTCTTATGTATAGTGGTTTACTCTAATTGTCCATCCTTATCAGTCCCTTGAGATGATAATAATACAGGATATAGAACTAGTATGTTGTTACTTGAGTTTCAACCATAGTCAATCTTATTCTAATGATTCCTTTTTGGTTTAAACATAAATTGCTAAAAGGAAGGTGGCACTTTGGTCAGTCAGTTAAGCACCCAACTCTCGATTTCGGCTCAGTCCATGTTCTCTCAGTTCATGAGTCCGAGCCCCACATTGGGGCTACGCTGACAGTATGGAGCCTGCTTGGGTTTCTCTCTCTCCTTCTTTCTCTCTCTCTCAAAATAAATAATAAACTTTAAAAAACCAATAACCCTTTTGTACATTTTATTGAAAGCATTTCTTGTTATTTTGGTCACCTCTGCTTCTTAACTACATGTGTGACATTGTACAAAGTACATAACATATCTGATGTTGATTTTCTTGTCTGTGAAATTAGGATAATACCTAAGCCTGCCTCACAGAACCGTGGTTAAGGATTAGATGACACGCTGTATGTGAATTGTCTTAACACAGTGTCTGGCATAGTGAAATGTAGTGATCATACTTAGGAAGTCATGTTAATTCTACTGTCTTGAAATTTAAAAACAATTTCCGTTCACTTGTCTCTAGTACTTTGCAGGAGGCACACTGAACATTGTGCCTCTTTACCCTATAGGCCATTGCACATATCTTTCCCACTGCGTCACATAGTTTTTCTCTTTTTCTCATTTTGCTTAGTGAATTTTACGCATTCTGGAGGTCTTGATTCAAATGATATAACTGCATTTGATATTTGCACATTATTTTCAACCTTCTCTGAGATTTAGTTCATTTCTTTCCTGTGTGTCATATTCTCTGTTCTTCCTTCACATGGCACTTCCCGCCTTAATTGTAATCATTTGTTGGGTTTTCACGGCCAGGTCCAAAATCCGTTAGATATTATTAGATATATAGTTCCCCTGACAGAAGTTACTAGCAGAGGAGATACTGGACCCTTTGCTTCTTGGCTTCCTACCCAGTGCTGTTTTTGCAACAACTACCCTGCTTCTGAATGTAGCAAAAGTGCTGTAAGCATACATCCCATCTGTCTTGCAGAATATTAAAAAGATACATACTTCAGGGCTGAGATTTAACTAAGTTAATAATTTTACAGTCTCATCTAGGACATTCATGAGTGAAACTGGCAGTCTTAGTTTTGTTTTGAGCTGTGCATATGTGGTGGTGACTGTCATAGAATTCTAAGCCACTGTCTTGATTTGTAATAAGGAACTGGCGATTTTACCCACAATTGCTTTTGTATCATCTGGGCAAATGTCAATATAGCGGAAAAGGTAAATGACATCTTGGTGTCATGAGAGTAGTCTTGTCCCTGAACATCCCCTGAAATGGTTTTGGAGATCCCCAGAGGTCTGAAGGCCACCCTATGGGAACAGCTGTAAGTGACATAGTACTCGGCGATAGGGGGAAAAATACAAGCTTTGAGGAAAAGACTGCAGCTATTAGCAAAAATGCCATGTTTTTGCCTCAAAATGCCTCAGGCTGATTGTTGACAGTTTGACCATTCTGACTCCACTGAGCCAAACCTGCCGTGAGTTTGGGCACTTTAACACTGTAAATGGAAGCCACTATTTTTCCACGGACTTCTTTTTTCTAGGAGAAGAGATTAACTTTGGGAAGTTCATCACAAAACCTTCAGAAGGAACAACTCTAAGAGTAGAAGACCTTGTGAAACAGTATTTTCAAACTGCAGAAAAGGTAATTACAGCCTACATTTTGAATAACAGCTATCTTACGGTAACAACTTTAATTTGTCATATGTATAATTGATACTTTGAATAAGGGGCATCTGGTTGGCCCAGTTGGTTAAGCATTCGACCTCCCAATTGTACGGCCAGCTGATTAGCAACCTTAATTTCATCTGTAACCTCAATTCTCCTTTGCCTTATAACATACTCACAGGTCCCAGAGACTAGGATGTGGACATGCTTAGGGGCCACCATTCTGCCTCCTGCACTGGTTAACCTAGTCTCCGCCATTGGCTACCATTTTAGGACCCTGCATCCCAACCACTCAGGCCTCTTTATTTCTTCATGTCTTCAGCATTACTCCCGTACCTTGTTTTTACTTGGCTTTTTCTGGCTCTTGAGTATTTATTAGTAGATTTAATTACTGCCCATTGTTTTGTTTTGTTCTGTTCTGTTTTATTTTGTTTTGTTTTCCCTTCAATAACTAGATACCTTTTTTGTCTTTTTTCCCCTGGTAACATTGTACTATAATTTTCCTTGCTCATATAGAATTATTTGATAAGGAATAGATCCTGATTTCTGCATCCAGTGATTTGTACCTCTTTCACAGAATGTGCAGCTCTCACTTCTAACCGAAAGAGGAATGGGCGAAGCAGTACAAGAATTTGTGGACAAGGAAGAAAAAGATGCCATAGAGGAATTAGTGAAATACCAGTTGGAAAAAACACAGCGATTTCTTAAAGAACGTCATATTGATGCCCTGGAAGATAAAATTGACGAAGAGGTAACTAATTTGGCGTGGATAAGTCTAGTTGGACACTCTTTCCTTAAAAGTACCTCTGGCTTCCTTTCTGATAAACCAGGGTTTAACCTCTCTGATGTGTTTAGTTTCCTCATCTATAAAATTGAGATCGTAAAATGAGAAAGTAGAGAAGGTCTAGAACAGAATCTTAAACATGATTGTTACCCATTAAATGTTAGCTTTGTTCCCCATAGATGGCATCTTCTGAAGATCATGAAAATGCTTTAAGATGAACCGTATCGGATGAAAATTTCTGTTCTGCTTTTCAGTTTTTTAGTAAGCTTTGTTGGAGATTTTGAATTTCATCTAGAAAATGCATTCTCTCTAAGCATAAAAGCAGTGGAAGAATCAAAGGAAAAGCTCTTGAAGTTTGACTGCATAGAAATTGTGAATGTTTACATGTCAAATTATCAAAAAGTCAAAATGTCCTGACATGGAGAAAATATTTGTATGTGGGCAGAAAAAAGGTTGATACTCAAAGTATTACAGAACCTTTAGAATAGTCTTAAGAAAAGTAGTAAACATTTCAATAGAATAATGAACAAAGACATAAATAACTGGTTCACAAAAGAAATACCAGTAGGTAATAAGCATATGAAAGTGGTGTTTAGCTTAGAATAATCAAAGAAACTCATGTATTTTGGGGTGCCTGGGTGGTTCAGTTAAGTGTCCAGCTCTTGATCTCAGCTCTCAGGGTCATGAATTCAAGCCCCACAGTGGGCCCTGCATCAGGTGTGAACCCTACTTTAAAAAAAAATTAAAAAAAAAAAAGAAAGGAAAGATGAAACTCAAATGTAGTTTTATTTGTCAGAGTGATAGCGATTTGAGAAGAGTATTTCCTGTGCTGCTGGTAGGAGAATCAGGTTTGAGCAGCTGCTGCACCAAAAGGCAGTTTGTCAGCGTGTATCAACAGGCTTACGATCTGACCTTTAACTCAGCCCTGGGAAATTTTCCCAAGACAGCAGTGAGATAGAGATTCGCGTATGGAGTAATTTATCTAAGTGTTGTCTGCAGTGGGAAAATTTGGAAAATGTTTTGGTGAAGGAAATGTTGGCACATATCTAGTGGATACTATGCAGCCATTAACAATTACATTTTTGGAGAACATGGAAAAATATTTTCAACGTTATGTGGGAAAAGAATTCCAAAAATTTAAAAATATGTAGAGTATGGTGCTAGTGATTTTTTTATTTTATGTATGAGTGTGTGCATGCAAAGAATGGAAGAAAATATTTCAAACATTATCAGTTGTTATCTTCAGGTAATGGGCTTATAGGGGATCATTTTCTGTATCTTCCAGATTCCCTCTGAGCAGAACAAAATATTATTTTTAAAACTCATTCCTTTTGACTTTGATTTTAGTGCTTTTAGTCAACATGGTTCTCTTAAAGTCTTATGATATCATGTCAGTATGCAACTTATAATATTCTATGCCAGGCACTTCATCAGTGAGCATAAGTATTCTGCCTTCTAAAATCACTCATTCTGCGACACTGGGTGTATGGGGTTCATAAATTTTTGGTGGAATGCATTTCTCAGTTAAGTGCCAAAAATAAAACATGAACATCCCCCCCAAATAAAACTGTGAAACTCCTAGGAGATAACATGTGAGAAAACCTAGATGACCTTGGGTATGGCAATGACTTTTTAAATACAACACCAAAAGTATGATACATGAAAGAAAGGATTAATAAGCTGGACTCTATATAAATGAGAACCTGCTCAGTGAAAGACAATGTCAAAAGAATGAGAAGACAAGCAACAAACTTGAAGGAGAAAATATTTGTAAAGGATAACATCTGGTAAAGAACTGTTAAAAGTCAACAGTAAGAAAATAGCCTGATATAAAGATGGGCCAAAGACCTTAACAGACATCTCACCAAAAATGTACAAATGTCAGGTAAGCATATGAAAACATGCTCTAGGGGCACCTGGGTGGCTAATTCCATTAAGCCTCTGACTCTCGATTTCAGCTCAGGTCATGATGTCACAGTTCTCATGATCTCACAGTCCTGATAGTGCAGAGCCTGCTTGGGATTCTCTCTCTGCCTCTCCCCCAATCACATGTGTGTGTTCTCGCTCCCTCAAGAATAAATTAATTATTTAAAAAAGAAAACAGGGGTGCCTGGGTGGCTCAGTTGTTTGAGCGTCCGACTTCAGTTCAGGTCATGATCTCACGGTTTGTGGGTTCGAGCCCCGTATCAGGCTTTGTGCTGACAGCTCAGAGCCTGGAACCTGCTTCAGATTCTGTGTCTTGCTCTCTCTCTGTCCCTACCCCACTTGCACTCTCTCTCAAAAATGAGTAAACATTAAAAAAAATTTTTTTAAAGAAAACTTGCTGTATATCCTGTGTCATCAGGGAAATGCAAATTAGCAATGACGTATACCACTATGCATCTATTAAAATGGCCCAGATCCAGCACCCTGACAACACCAAATGGTGATGAGGATGTGGACAGCAGGAATGCTCAGTCATTGCCACTGGAAATACAAAGTGGTACAGTCACTTTGGGTGACCGTTTGGCAGTTTCTTAAACAGCTTAGTATTCTCTTACCATGTGATCCAGCAATCACGCTCGTTGCTGTCTACCCAGCGATGTTGAATGCGTATGTTCACATAAAAATCTGCCCGGAGATGTAGGTAGCAGCTTTATTTATAATTGCCCAACTTGAAAGCAACCAACATGTCCCATTAGCAGGTAAATGGAAAGTAAATTGTGAAACATTCAGACAAGGGAATATTGTTTAGGACTAAGAAGAAACGAGCTGTCAAATCTGTGAAAGGACATGGAGGAAATTTCAATGCGTATTGCTAAGTGAAAAAAACAGTCTGAAAAGGCTACGAGCTGTGTGATTTCAACTATACAACATTCTGGAAAAGGCAAAACCATAGAGACAGTAAGAAGATCAGAGGTGGCAGGGGCTGAGTGAAGGGCAAGAGGAGGGACGAATAAGCACCCAAAGGATTTTAGGTCAGTGAAAGTGCTCCGTATGAGCCTATGCTGGAGGACACATGACATTACACACTTTTCCAGACTCCTAGAATATAGGACCCCAGGAGTGAACCATAATCTAAACTCCGGACTTTGGGGGCCTCCAAAAGGCAGCCAGGCTCTTGACTGAGGCAGTTAGGCTCTTGATGTCAGGGCTGTAAATTCGAGCCCCACGTTGGATGTAGAGATTACTTGAAAAGAAAATCTTAAAACAAAATCCAAACACCTATGGACTTGGGTGATTATGATGTGTGAGTGTCAAATGTCCCAATGCTGGTCGGGGGGACATTGATAATAGGGGAGTCTGCATGTGTGGGCAAGAGGGTATATGGGAAATCTCTGTACCTTTCTCTCAATTTGAACCTAAAACTACTCTTAAAAAACAAACAGTAAAGCAAAAAACCATCCCCAGATGTCATGGCTCCTGAGACAGTACTTGAGGGATGGGCTGTGTGGTAGCTAAGGGCGTGGCCTCTGGGCCAAATGACCTGCATTCAAAATCAAAACCCTTAGTGCCTGTGTAACCATCAGTAGGTTTTTTAACCACTCTCCACCTCAGTTTTCTCATATGTAAAATGGGGACAATAATACAGCTTCTGTCAAGGTGGTTGTGAGGATGAAAATGGTTAACACATGTAAAGTCCTGGAACACTGCTGGCACACGGAGCCTGCGCGGCATTTTTACTCTGACTCATTTCTCTTGCATGAATGATGTAGCATTTTTGTATGGCATATACCACCCAGAGCACTGTTACATACTGTGCCATTTTTAAAACCAATTCTGTCGCCACAGGCATACTGTCCTTTCTTTTAGCTGAAACATCAAATAAAACTCTTCGGTCCCACTTCCATTTAGCTACTATTCTACTTCGGTGTTTCCCTCTTAACAGCAGAATTGCTTCAGAGTTTTCTGCAGTTGCTGCCCTAATTTTTTCCCTCCCTCTTCCCTTACATCCATCATCCAGATGGTTTGACCCCATCATTCCAGTGAAGCTGCTCATTCAAAGTCGTCACCAGTGACTTCTCTTGCTAAAGCCACTGTCATCTTAAATCTTCTTGAAGCCATTTTTTCTTTGGCTTCCGGGCCCACAGTCTTCTGGTTGTCTTCTGTCTCACTGTGCGTACTCTCCCTTCTGTTGTTTCTCTCCTCCCTCCAGCCTCCTGTGTTGGAGTCCCTAGAACTCAGTCCTTGGAGCCTCCTTTATCTACACATCCCCTTTATAATTTCATCTAGCTACCTGGATTTAAATTCCATCTGTTTGGTGGTGACTTTCAAAAGTCTAGCCCAGATCTCTCCTCTACGTAAGATTGCTGTGGCCAGCAGCCTGCTGGACCTTTCTACTCAGATGCTTAGTAGACGTCTCAGACCGCTAACCCTCCCTAGTCTGAAGTGCTCCATTCTCAGTCTTTGCTGTATGGGTCATGTCCTGGTGGAAACACCATTCTTTCTGTTGCTCAGGCCAAAAGCCTTCAAGTGATCCTTGGCTCCTCCTGTTCTGTCACTTGTATCCTGACTCTCTAGGTCTCCTTTGGCATTACCGCCGAGTACATACAGAATCTGACTGCGAGTTCTCATGCCTTCGTCCCTCCCTGTGGTCCAACACGCATTGTCATTTCTTGCTTAGATTATTCCAGTATCCTCCAAACTCCTCCCCTTTTTGTACCTGTGCTCCTCCTCCACCCCCTATTCTCAATTCAGCTGTCGATGATCCTAATATATTTTAGATCAAGTCACTCCCATCTAAAGATAAAGTCCTGGGGCGCCTGGGTGGCTTAGTCGGTTAAGCGTCCGACTTTCGCTTAGGTCATGATCTCGCGGTTCGTGGGTTCGAGCCCCGCGTCGGGCTCTGTGCTGACTGCCAGCTAGGAGCCTGGAGCCTGTTTCAGTCTGTGACTCCCTCTCTCTCTGACCCTCCCCTGCTCACGCTGTCTCTCTCTCTCTCTCCTAGAAATAAATAAAACATAAAAAATTTAAAAAAAATAAATAAATAAAGATAAAGTCCTTATAGTTTTTTATGAGGCCCTATTCAGTCTGGCTTTCCATTATGTTTTTACCATCCTACCTGCTTGCTATTTCTTACGCATACCATGCACACTTCTTTCTGCCCCAGTGCCTTTACAAAGCACATTGTTTCCTTTGATTAGAATGTTCTTCCCTAATTATTTGCAAGATTCATTCCCTTTTGCAATCTTTGCTCATAAATTACCTTCTCAGTGAGGCCTTCCATGATCATCCTATTCAGATGTGACCTCTCCTCAGCCTTCCTCACCCTCTTCCTCCTTTATTTTTCTTTGCATAATTATTGTCTTTTGCCAGGATTTCACAGGTTCAGATATTGGAAGAACTCCAGACTCCATTGAACATTCTTCATTTAAGGGTTTGTTGTTTTTTTTTTTTTTTTTTTAAGTTTATTGGGGGTGGGGAGAGGGCAGAGAGAAAGGGACAGAAGCCCAAGCAGGCTCAGTGCTGTCATGGCAGAACCCAACAAAGGGCTCAAACCCACGAACTGTGATTTAAGTGTTTGACTTAACCCACCGAGCCACCCAGGCACCCCTAAGGCTTTTCCTTAAAGGCAAAGGATATAGAGCATCAAGAAAAAGAGTATGGGCAGACATTAAGGACCTGAGAGATGCCAGGCATAAATAGGCTCCCTGCATCCTCATTAGCACACAGTGGTCCCTGGATTGGGCACCAACATCTGTGCAAAAGTTCCCAGATCTTTTATGCCCTCCGGTCATATAATCAAGCCACGCTTCAAACCTGGGCATGCAGGTTGAAAACCAGCAGTAAATAAATGGCCCCAGCTTAAAGCTCCCCAGAGATGAGCCTACTCGAGTTTTCTCAGTCTAGCTGTAAATTAACTCAATCCAATCCACCTTCTAAAATACAGTAGAACTTCCTATCTTGTTTCTGTTTATTGGCTACACACACACACTTGCCCATGCACGCACACAGTTGTACTCCTGGGGGACAGATTTGTCACTCTTGTTCATTGTTGTGTTCTCAGTTCCTACAGTACTGCTTGACACATAATGGGTGCTCAATAAATAGCTGCTACATAAATTATTAAACAAATAGAGCTTTTCTCTAATCATGTAGCTATACTATATTCTTGCCTTGTTGAGCAAGAATTTAAAAAAAAAATCTCTAGTATCCTTCTTGGTTCCAGGACCATTATCAGCCAATGGTAAACATTCAGTAGTTGGTATAATGATCTTTAGAGGCCCACCCACTTCACATTACCATTTCAGAGCTTCCTAGATGCCGTACAGCCAAATGCCAAAGAATGATTTGAGCCCTGTAATAAATATTTCAAGCCTCTGAAAGAAGAGATTTTTGTTTTTAACTGTTCCACTAAAGTATAACACTCATATGTATTAGAAATGTGTTCTTCTTCCATTTGATTAGATTGTTTTTCAGTGACCTGGAACATTTTGACAGGAGGTAAGAGTTTTGCTTAGGGCCTATATATATTTTTTAGAGTACAATTCTGAAGTTTTAATGTAAGTCACTAGGAAAATATGATTTCTTTAGTCAGTGTTTTGTGAGACAAAAGACTACTTCTATTTTCAGGTTTTTTGTTGTAATGGGAAGCATTTCTTATTTGTAGCACACTTATCTTTACGTGAGAGGAATAAGCAACTTGTTTGTGATTTACTCTGTTTTAATACAGGTACGCCGTTTCAGAGAAAGCAGACAAAAAAACACTAATGAAGAAGATGATGAAGTTCGAGAGGTAATTTCTGCTGTAAATTCCTGTGCTTCTGTGTCCGTTTAAGTTAGAATGGCTAGTAGGTTTGTTTACAGAGGAGTCAGTCCACAGGTTTGGCTGATAGGACTGAGCAGGGATTGGCCGAGGATAGCTGCCTTTGATTTACCCCATTTCACCCGATTCTGCTTGCTTCCATTCCCTTCTTTCCCTTTTGCTCTCGTCTAAAACTTATTTAATTTTGTGGGGGCAGGGGACATATGCAGCAAGAGCCCTCATTAATCAAAATAATACAAAATTGCGATCAGAACATCTTATCAGTGTAAGATGAAATCTAACCCTACTGAGCTGCTATTATTTTGGGCAAAAAAGGAAGAAATAGGCTCTTGCTAGCAGCTTTAGCACAGGTAGATACATGGTGTCCTCTGAGCTTTCTGATGTGTTGAAATGGACTTGGTCACCATCAGTGCTGTCTTTCTCAATCTCTGCAGTTTAGGAACTTCTGGTTAGCGACCACTGACTTAAGCTTCGGGCCTCTATGTGGTACTTGGTGAATTCACTGGTGAAACATATTTTTCTATTTTCCCATTTGTCTCTCGTGTTTTATGGTTGCTATGTAGTATTTAAAGGTCGTCTTATAACTTATTTACTATTGGGATTTTGTCTTGATTGCTTTCATCTGTGTCTGTTACAACCTAGCCAATTCTACTGGCATTAACCACACAGACGTGGGAAGCGTGTGGTTCGTGTCCACCAGAGACTCGCTTTATTTAGTAGGTGAGGCAGATGTATGTAGAAGGAAAATTGTTAAACCTTACCATGGCCCGAAATGTCATCCCCACTAATTAATACAACTTTCCTGCTAGTCCATTGTCATTTTCCTCATCAGAACTGCCCCTGACAGGTGGTGAGTTAGAAGGTGCTGAAGCACTTGACACATCCCTCAAATTAACTTTTTTGAAGTCCACTGTTTTCTCAGGTCCAAGGAAAAAGGGATTAATGGAAACTCCATTTCCCACCCCCACCCCCGTCACCACCACCCTTTAAATATTTTTTGCCTTGTTTTAAGCACACAGCGTCAATACCTGGGATGCCGAAAAGAAAAAGAACCCTGCCTAAGGAGACAGGGACTCTCAATTTACTTTTTTCCCCTCTGAACTCTCTTCCAAAGGAGTCTGTTTCGTGGTTGATCTACTGATGACTACTAGGTAATACCACACAGCCTTTAATGTGAAGCAGTTTTAGATCCTGACATAGGAAAGATCATTTATCAGATAATTCTTTAGTATCATCTCTAAAGGCCATTAGACTTTCTTTCTTTTTTAAATACAGTTTCCAAGTCTATATCTGATTTACTTCATCATCTGTCATACCATACTGGCTACTTAGGATTTTAAGCTGATTCAGTAATAAGCTGATCCAATAATTCTTATTTGGAATGTTAAGGAATAGGAAAGTGAGAGTTTTGGTGTTTGTTTTTGGTTTCTCTCTCTAATGACAAAAGTTTGATCACTTGCGCTTATTGTGGGGAAAGTTGCCGCCTCTCCCCACAAGTTGTATCCCGGTTCATTAGAATATGTATAAATGTGAACAGTATAGTAACTCAGTTAAAAGCCTTTCTTTAGAAAGGATATGCAGGGATATTGGGTGTCTGGGTGGCTCAGTCAGCTGAGCGACTGACTTTGGCTCAGGTCATGATCTTGCAGTCCGTGGGTTCAAGCCCCTCATTGGCTTCTGTGCTGACAGCTCAGAACCTGGAGCCTGCTTCAGATTCTGTGGCTCCTTCTCTTTCTGTCCCTCCCTGCTTGTACTGTGCCTATCTCTCTCTCAAAAATAAATTAACATTTTTGGGGGCGCCTGGATGGCTCAGTCGGTTAAGCATCCGACTTTGACTCAGGTTATATCTCGCGGTTCATGGGTTCGAGCCGCGCATCGGGCTCTGTGCTGACAGCCAGCTCAGAGCCTGGAGCCTGTTTCAGATTCTGTATCTCCCTCTCTCTCTGACCCTCCCCTGCTCACACTGTCTCTATTTCTCTCAGAAATAAATCAAACATTTAAAAAAATTTTTAAAGGGTCTCCTGGGTGGCTCACTCAGTTGAGTGTCTGACTTCGGCTCAGGTCATGATCACGCGGTCCGCGAGTTCGAGCCCCGCGTGGGGCTCCATGCTGACAGCTTGCGGAGCCTGGAACCTGCTTCCGATTCTGTGGCTCCCCCTCTCTCTGTGCCCCTCCCCCACTCACACTCTGTCTTTCTTGCTCTCAGAAATAAATAAAACAGAAAAAATTAAAAAAAATTTTTTTTAAATTAAAATAAATTAACATTTATTAAAAAAGGATACATGAGGATAGTCTTCTAAATGTCCAGTTTTGTGAGTTTCCTTGGCTTCTTCCGCTTGTACAACTTAATACTATCTCCATCGTGTAATACAGGAGCTTTTGCAACATAAACTGACATTACTAGCAGTAGGGCCAGTACTGACTCCAGGTTTTTCCTACCTCCTGCCTTTCATTAATAGCCTTCAGTAATTGATTATAGAACTAAAAGCTACCACCATCCACTAAATTTCATATTCAACATTCCCGATGTCAGAGTCACTCTCCTACATAAATGTAGTGGAAAAATAGAACACATTGCCTGCTTGGTTTTATTCATTACTGTTTTCAAGCAGAAAGGGCAGGTGGTATTTATGAAATTTTTATTTATTGATTTTTCTCTAAGCATGTCACACCATTTTACAAATGAGACTGAGACCACAGTAAAGGTTACATGGTGGGATAAAATTTTACCTTCAAGTCTAGACTTTTCCACCATACCATGTCCAGTCACAACCCCGTATCATCGTGACATTAATACAACTCATGGCAAGTGAATGGCTAAAAATATAAAATTTCTGAAAGTTTTTATGTGCAGCACATCAAAGTCACTGTTCCTAATAAGCACTGATACAACTGCTTTACCATTTACGAGATGGTTTTTGGGAGCAATAAGAGGAAGCTATAGATTAGGGATCCCTTAACCACATTTATATTTGTGTTCATCTTACAGAGTTTCCTTCAACTAGAAAAGAGTTTGCTAAATAACAAGAATGAAAGGAAAGAAAGGACTCCTGGTTCTTGGATCGTGTACACTTAACTAACCATTTCAATTTAACAGAGTACAGAAATCTTTCTGCGGATGTCCTTTGTGTTTGGAGCCACTAAATTCAGTTTTTCATTAATCTTTTAAAGAATAAGAGTGAATGTTTTATATGAGGAAGGTAATAGAGGACATCACAGATTGTATTTGGGAATTTTTCAGAAGGAAGCATTTTTAGGTTTCAATTTTTCAGCTATGTTTTAAGACATGAGCAGGCAATTGGGGTTTCCTGGGCAATTTGTTAGCATTGCCATAGGATGTTATAAATGGTCTTCATTCTCAGCATGCTGCTTAGGACTTGTAACGGAGTTTGGGACTTTCCCAAGCTATAACCTCCAGCCATGGGGGGTAGCTTAAATTATTTAAACAAATAGACAAAAGCATTAGTCCTTCCAAGAGGCTTTAAAGCTTCTTGTTCACATGGGAAATCTCTCAAGTGTTTTCTTTAAGTTCACATTTAAATAAAAGGCCAAACAAATATTTTAGGCTTTACAGGCCATCTGTGGTCTTGTCATATATTCTTCTCTGTGTATGTGGTGGTGGTGGTGGTTTTAAACAAGCCTTTAAAAATGTGAAATCTATTCTTAGTCTAACCCGTAGGCCATAGTTTTCCCAGCCTCTGGTTTCCTATGTTCTACCTGAATCTGAGGCAGGGTCAGTCCCCTTCCAAACCACAATGCCAAGCACTGTCAATGCAGTGAAGAGGCTCTCCGTATGATTAGAGAGGATATTTGCAGATTATGTGTTTGGTAAATGATTAACATCCAGAACACGTAAAGATCTCCTAATATCCAATCACAACAAAACACAACTAAAAAAGTGAATGAAGGACTTAAACAGACATTTCTCCAAAGAAGACAAACAGGTGACCAATAAGCACATGAAAAGATGCTCAACATCACTACTCATTAGGGAAATGTACATCAAAACCAGAAAGAGATCTCACTTCACATTTATTAAAATGACTGTTAAAAAAACCAAAAAACTAGAAAATAGTGTTGCAAAGAATATGGAGAAATTGCAGCCCTTTGCATTGCTGGTGGAAATATAAAAGCTTCTGTGGAAAATAGTATGATAATTCCTCAAAAAAAGAAAAATAGAATTATGTGATCTAGCAATTGCATTTCTAGGTATTTACTCCAAAGAATTGAAAGCAAGGATTCAAATATTTGTACACCCATGTTCATAGCATTATTCACAACAATCAAAAGGTAGTAACAACTGATGAACAGATAAAATATTGTATGTATGTACAGTAGACTATTCATTTAGCCTTAGAAGGAGTGAAGTTGTGGGGCATCTGGGTGGCTTAGTTGGTTAAGCGTCCAACTCTTGGTTTCGGCCCAGGTCCTTGGCTCATTGTTTATGAGTTCAAGTCCCGTGTCTCTGCATAGAGAGTGCAGCGCTTACTTGGAATTCTCTCTCTCTCTCTCTCTCTCTCTCTCTCTCTCTCTCTCCCCCCCCGCCTTTCTCTCTCTCTCTCCCCCTCAGAATAAATAAAAGTAAAATTTAAAAAATAAAAGAGAAAGGAGTGAAGTTATAATACTACAACATGGATGAAACTCAGAAACATCCTGAGGGAAATAAGACGTAAAAGGATAAATACTTGTATAATTCCACTGAAGTGAGATACCTAGAGTAGTCAAATTCATGCAGACAGAAAGTAGAATAGTGATAACTATGGGATGGGGTAGGGAATGGAGAGTTATTTTTGTATATTTTGCCACAATTTTTTTTAAAGGGTGTGATACCAGGGTAGGATGTTTTCGAATCTCGCCAGAAAAAAGTATTTTGAAAACATTGCCCTACCAGTAGACCTGCACTTACAGTGGTTCTGGACCTGCACTCATGAGTAAGTTAGAATTCCACTACTAATTCTTAGAAGTAGTGTACTTCAAACATAAACTCCAAAGGCTGTTGCACAGAAACGTAGACTTAAAATATTTTACTGTAATGTTTGAGGTGATAAAATGAAGTTGTAGTATTTAGACAAAGGAAAGTACGAAATTTGAAAATGATGATGGGTAATTCATTCCAAGGAATACTCATAAAAGGGCATATGCATTTTAGATTTTTGCTAGATACTGCTCCGTCACTCCAGAGATGTCACCCCCATTTACATCCTGACCAGTATTTGGGAGTGTTTATTTCCTCACATCTTTGTCATCATAATGTCTTACTACATCTTTCATGGTTTTTTAAAGTATATTTTTAATATTTGTTTATCTTTGAGAGAGAAAGAGTGCAAGCAGGGGAAGGGCTGAGAGAGAGGCAGACACAGAATCCGAAGCAGGCTCCAGGCTCTGAGCTGTCAGCACAGAGCCCAGCTTGGGGCTCCCAACTCCCCAACCATGAAATCCTGACCTGATCCGAAGTCAGGCGCTTAGTCAACTGAGCCACCCAGGCGCCCCACTACATCTTTTGATCTTTACAGATCTAAAGGGTGAGAAATTGTCTCTTGGCTTTTGTTTTCAATCCATACTGCTTTTGTTAGCAGTGACTCTTTTGTGTTTATAAATCATTTATATGAAACACCTGGTCATGTTCTTGGCCCAGAAATTTTTGCTTTGTTCTTGTGCCGAGGGCTTTGGTCTCTCACATGAAAGTGTGCACACACTCTTTGTGGTGAGGGGATAGGACATTTAGGGTATTTGTCATGCAAAAGATGGGATTTAGGGTTTGTTCAAATCCAGAATGGGTGATGAATTAAGTGCCTTTTTGACCCACATATAGATAAGCATGTGGGACTTTTCCTCCTTTGTTCTATTTATTAATGTGGCAAATTGTATTAAAACATATCCTATTATTGCCCCATTCTTAATATCACTTTGCGAACCCCCTGGTAATGGGTATACTGGGTTTTCCACATGTTCCTGGATTCTCTTTGTTCTCTTAAAAAAATTTTTTTTTAATGTTTTATTTATTTCTGAGAGAGAGAGAGACAGCATGAGCAGGGGAGGGTCAGAGAGAGAGGGCGACACAGAATCTGAAACAGGCTCCAGGCTCTGAGCTGTCAGCACAGAGCCTGATGCGGCAAGATCATGACCTAAGCCAAAGTCAGACTCTTAACCGACTGAGCCACCCAGGCGCCCCTGTGTCCACTTTAATATTCATAAGTAAGATCCTGTAATTTTCTTTTTGTGCATGCAGTCTGTCACCTGTTCAGTAGCGTGTTCTGCTGGTGTCATAAAAATAAATTGGAAGCTTTCTTCCTTTATGCTCTGGTACTATGGGAATACCAGTGGAACTGCCTGTCCTTTGAAGATTTGATAGACTTTATCTGTGAAACTTTATGGCAGTGGTCCTTTTCAGAAGCGTTGTTCTCAGCTTTTTCTCAGCTTTTAACAGTTTTCTTAGCTTTTTCTTTGATATTAGTCTGTTGAGACTGTATACCTATTCTTGGATCCATTTAGGTCATTTATTTTCCCAGTTACTTAGAATTGAAGAGTATTTGTCAGGATTCTTGAATTTTCCCTTGATCTTTTTTCCCTCCACCTTCATTTCTAATGGTGTGTATTTATCTTTTCTCCCTTCTTATTAAGTTAGTGATTTTTATCAGTGTGGTTTTCTCCTAGAGGACCAGTTTTTAAATTTGCTAAATTGAATGGATTTTTGCTTAAAATATGTTTATGATTGTATCATCATTGATTTCTTTTTTTATATAAATGGATTTTTAAAAAAAAATTTTAATGATTATTTGTTTTGAGAGAGAGAGAGAGAGCACAAGCAGGGAAGGAGCAAAGAGAAGGAGGCATAGAATCGGAAGCAGGCTCCAGGTTCTGAGCTGTCAGCACAGAACCCAATGAGGGCTCGAACTCAGTAGCGATGAAATCATGACCTGAGCCAGGACTGAGCCACCCAGCCACCTCTTATTATTGATTTCTAATAGTTTCCTGTGGATGTGTTTTATTTGTCCAAACTTTTTGGATGCCACATCTCCTTATTTATTCCTTCTTTTTTAATAGGTGGTAAGCTTTCTTTACAAACACTGCTTTAATTGTTTCATATGTTTTGTACACAGTATTTTTATTATTGTTTTCTAGATTTCTACAATTGTAGTTTTGTGGTTTTGAGGCAAGTGTTTTTGTTTTATTGTAACTAATTCCTAATTTTATTCATGGCGATTAGATGACATAATAATACTCTTTACTATTTAGTACTTACTGCTGTTTTTCTTAGCACCCCATGATATATCAGCTAAACAAATCATGAGGTCTTGCAAAGAAGTGTATTACTTATTTTCAGAGTATAGAGTTCAACATATATCAATTAGATCTGTCTTATTAATGATGTAACTTAGGTCTCCTTTTTCCTTTTCATGCTATTTTTAAAAAGTACAGGTTCTATGCCCTATGTCACCACAAATACTAAATTAGCAAATACTGAACCATGTTGCTGCTGAGGGAAAATACAGGATTACGTTCCTGCCAACGACTGGTTCCGTTTTTGTCAGCTGATCACTACATAACATTTTGTGTGTGTTTCTGTATAAAGACCTCTTAATATATATTATAATTCATGAGCATTGAACCTAGAACCAGCAGCCCCATAACTCATACTCTAACACGTATGTCATCCGTAAGGCACATCACAGCCTGCTTGCACGTGGGAGCAGTAGACAGCACCTCAACAGTGCACTGCATCACCAGCCAAAAGCACAAAAATGTGAAAAATGTGGCACGTATTTTAAATACGCCACAGAAAGGACCCTTGTTGAAAGTGTGAGAGCTGAAACAGGAAGGCAGAGTGTGCCGTTGTCCATCCTCATCAGGGAATGTGTGCGTCAGGAGGCGCAGAATGTTTGCCGCTCTGCACACGTCCACGTGTGGTCGCAGAAGCGCCGGGAGTGTCGTTCTGGGGGTCACAAATACAGAATCCAAGAATAATGAGGATTGACCATACTTCACCTGGGACCAGAAAAATGAGCTGAAATCTTCTTCGGGTTTTTTTTTTTTTTTAATTTTCTGTTGTGTTCCCTGAAGTGGTTTTTGTTTTGTTTTGTCATTACATAGTAATGCAGCGTCGAGTCCTTCATGCGGTGTATGAGCTGTTGTCTCCCTTAAGCTAAGACCCACATCATGAAGGTGGATGACCTCCCACAGCCCACTTTCCTCCTGCTGCTGCCCTACCTGCTTTGTTCTCATCTCGTTTAGCCCTGTCTCCCCTTACTTTATGGTATCACAGAGCACTCAGACATGTTCCACCCACCTGTTCTTAGACTGAGAATTTTCTGTTCCAGCAAGAGAGACTATCGTCCTGGTCCTCTGGGACATACAGATCAGTTTTAGAGAGCTCTGTGCTCCCTGAGACTCTTCTCAGCCCTGTTCCTTCAGTCAGATCTGTGTTCTGTCTGTTTGCTCTTCTTCAGAGAGTTTGTGTTTTGAAGTTGGAGCTATTTTCTGATTTCATTGAAAGTGTATTGTGTTTCATTTCTGTTTTCCTTGTTACCTTTTGATTGATTTAAGAGAAGAGCTCAGGACAGCATTGCATTTATTTTATCCTATTTTTAATCAGAAAATCTATTCATTTCAGAGCTAAAGTATTTCATTAAGTCTCACACTTGTCTTTTTAGACAGGTTCTTACCAAATTAAAATTTGTGGCATCTACTTGGTCCTAAGCTTTTTATTCATCTCCTGCTTGACATTTTTATAGCATGATTAGTGAAATAGAATGGTGTCGGCAGATTGACAATATTAAATGTTAACTGAATGACCAGAATAAAGACTTAGGAAGCTGTATTATCTACTAATGTGTACTTTCTCCTCTCTCCCTCCCAGGCTATGACTAGGGCCAGAGCCCTCAGATCTCAGTCTGAGGACTCTGCTTCCGCCTTCAGTGCTGAGGACCTTATGAGTATAGATTTGGCGGAGCAGTTGGCCGATGACTCTGACGATGACATCGCAGCAACAGCCAACAAAGGAAGAGGCCGCGGAAGAGGCCGACGAGGGGGAAGAGGGCAGAATTCAGCCTCCCGGGGAGGGTCTCAGAGAGGAAGAGGTTAGTACCGAGTACTGTCTTTCACACACATTCAGGCCTCACAGTCAGATGGGAAACAGAATTGTATTCCTGTCATCCAAATTTAAGTGACGCAGTCCTTTAAAATTTTGTTTTTATAATGCATAAAGTCCATCTTTTATGTAGTTCTGACATGTATGTTTTAACTTAAATAAATTTTAATGGCCATGTGTACATAAGGTTTTAATTACTCTTAACGTATTTTTTTTTTAAGAACTTCACTATGTTTCTCATGCCTTTTGGGTACATTTAATGTCCTCTTTACTCTCACACATATAAGGTAATGGGCAAATACAAGCTGCTAAGGAAAATGGCTACCTAATGACCATTGGCAGCAGAAACAAACTCCAGGCCATAAAGATTATTATTTTTGTGACTATCATAAGATAACAAATGCCCGCATTTTTATAAAGTAGCTTATAAAATTTGTGCAGAAAGAAAGCTACCCTAAAACAATTTGATTTCTTTATTTATTTTTTTTTTTAATGTTTGTTTATATTTGAGAGAGAGAGAGACAGAGCATGAGCTGGGAACAGGCAGAGAGAGAGGGAGACACAGAATCCAGAGCACACTCCAAGCTCCAGGCTGTCAGCACAGAGCCTGACGTGGGGCTCGAACTCACAAACTGTGAGAGCATGACCTGAGCCAAAGTCAGACGCTTAACCGACTGAGCCCCCCAGTCGCCCAAAACAATTTGGTTTCTTAAATCAGTCATTGACATTAATTGCCATCAGTGTATTTAATGTGGCATTGTTGTCCTGAAATAATCCACGAGATGGAAAATTGGCCATCCAGTGGTTTCCCGGTACATTATAAATCCATTTCTAGGAATTTTTAAATTATTTTTATTAAATATTCATTCATAGGAATTCTAAGCTGGTAAAATAGTACTTTAGTTAAAACTTTCCAGGGAGAGAAATCCTCATCCTCTAATCATAATTTATTTTCTTTATCCTTCATCATCTAATCATAATTTATTTTCTTTATCCTTAAATTTACAAAGCATTTCCTTAAATTTTGATTGGAACAGTATGAACCAAATGTGGCAGAAGTACAGTCTTTGAAAACTGATTAGCCTAGATGTTTCTTGCTATATGTGTCTTTGACTTTTTATACATAAACTATGTTTTGACGTAACTATTTACATTTCATTCACTTTGGCATTATTTTAAAAAAACCTTGGCTACTGATAGTATTGTATATTGACTGCTCATTATTCTAACAGCAGGCAGTGCCCTGGATACTTCTACTCGAAGCAGAAGTTCAAAGGCCACTATGTCAACATCTAGAAATATGTCTATTATAGATGGTGAGTATGGACTGCAAATGATTCTCTAGCAGTTATTTTAAATGTCAACATAGGAAGACCTAGGAACTTGCCATTAGTAAACCTCATGGGTCTGTGTTGCCATCACTGGGAGGAGAGCAAAAAGGATTGTTAGGATTACAGAATAAATTATTCTTTAAAAGGTCTTTGCCGGGGCACCTGAGTGGCTCAGTGGGTTAAGCGTCCGACTTCAGCTCAGGTCATGATCTCACGGTTCGTGGGTTCGAGCCCCGTGTCGGGTTCTGTGCTGACAGCTCAGGGTCTGGAGCCTGCTTCAGATTCTGTGTCTCCCCCTCTCTCTGCTCCTCCCCTGCTCGCGCACTCTCTTCTCTCTGTCTCTCAAAAATGAATAAATTAAAAAAAAAAAAGTCTTTGCCATTCATGAGAGCTCTTAAATAGGGTAAACTTTAAAAATTATTTTTTATAATCCCTTACTTTTGGCAAATTTGATTATTTCCTTTTTATAGAGGGATCATGAAGACCTAAAAAAGTAAGTCAATAGGTCAGTGTATCAACAATGATCAAGAGAGAAAGAGCTGCTTCTTAATATATTGTTTACTTTCTTATGCTGCTTTGGTCCGGCTCTACTGTTAGCACAGGGAAATCATGTTATTTAAGAGAAATTATGGTTAGGATTCTTTGAACTAATTTTGTGTATGTGTTATGGTCTAAAATTTGGCCTCAAACTAAGGGGATCTATTTTTAATACTAATATAAAAATATAATAAACTATTTTTAATATGATTTTAAGATCACCCTGAGTTGTTAGTTTTGTAAAAGTATGTTGTTTTGGGTTTTTTCTTAATGTTTATTTATTTAATTAGTGAAAGAGAGAAGTGGGAGGGGAGAGAGAGAGAGAGAGACAGAGAGAGAGAGAGAGAATCACTAGCAGACCCCACGCTGGCAGCACAGAGCCCGACACAGGGCTCAAACCCACGAACCATGAGATCATGATCTGAGCCAAAATTAACCAACTGAGCCACCCAGGGGCTCCAAAAAGTACCATTGTTAAAACATGTGGTGATTTTTTTTTTTAACCTAGCATTCATAAAATGCCTACATAGCCATATGTAGAAGGAACTTTAGATCTCTCATCTGGGAAGAATTTAGGTCTTTATATAAATTCAACTCTGTCCTGTGAAAGATAGAATACATTTGATTTGCATAGACCCAAAGGCAGTGGTTTTAAATATTTTGAGTCATGGATTCTTAAGAATCTGATGAGACCTGTGTCTCTTCTCCTTAAGTGGGTGCTCAAGTGCAAGTGCACTCATTTTTAAAGGGTTCCAGGACCTCCATGAAGTTCATCCATGGGCTCCAATAAGGATAGATGGGAAAGGCTGGAAGCTTACAGATTTACGTTTATTATCTGATAAAATGGACCCAGAACACTTAAGAATAACTTCACCCCTCTCTCATCTTATAGGTGAGGGAGCTGAGCTAAGCGATTTGTACTAGGTTGATAAAACCACTAATAATAATCCTCATAATAGCTGGTATTTATGAAAGAGTTACTGCATGCTTCTCAACAGCTCTCTAGTTAGATACTTCCATTATCCCTCTTATAGAAAAGGAAACTGAGGCTTTGAAAAGATAGGTAATTTACCCACAGTCTCACAACTAGGAAATTTTAGAACTGGGATTAATCTCACATTCCCTAGACTCTAGACTCCAGAACCAGTGATTAGTCACTAGTTGGCCTTTGAACCCCACCAATTTGAGCTGCGTAGGTCCACTTATATGTGTTTATTTCAATAAATACAGTACAGTACTATAAATGTATTATAAATGTATTTTTCCTTCCGTGTGATATTTTTAATAACATTGTCTTTTCTCTAGTTTACTTTGTTGTAAGAATACAGTATAGAATACAATGTGCAAAATAGTGTTAATCAACTGTTCATGTTGTCAGTAAGGCTTCCAATAAGTAGCAGGCCATTAGTAGTTAAGTTTTGGGGGAGTCACAAGTTACATGGGGATCTTTGGACTGTGAGGGGGTCATTGCCCCTAACCCCAGAGTTGTTCAAAAGTCAATTGTACTATTGGTTCCAGAACAAGATAAGATTACACACCTACCTACTAGTTCTCAATAAAGGAGTCTTTGCATTATACAGAGTAACCCATCTAATTAATGTGAAGATAGAGTCAGCCATCCCAGAAGGAGGTGAATTGTGACACTATCAGAGGAAGTTTTCCACATTCATTGGATGGATGGCAACTGACATTGGAGGAAGGATACAAACATCAGATCAAGGAAATGACTCTTAAGGAACCTTCTTATCCAAAGTTCTGTTGCTGTATTTTTCCTCAGTGGTTATTCAGTACTTGAGAGCCAGCGGAGATCCTGGTCTTTACTCCAAAACCATGTTGTCCTTGTTGCCATTTAGGAAACGGCATCCAAAAAGGTGCTCTTCCATTCTTGGCAGGGCTGAGATAACGCCGAGAAGGAGAAAAGTCAAAATCAGCAGCATAGAAAGGATGTAGGTTGAGTTCAACTCCTACGTTACATAGTAGTCTCTACGTAGTGCGGTTATTCTGAAGATGAATGGCAAAGAGTCTGGCACACAGTAGACATTTACAAAACGTTCCTTGTAAAAACAAAAACCGAGGGAGATAGGAAAACAAAGTGAGTAAGATCTGTACCCTTCCATGTTCGGCCACTGGAAGTTGGTTAGCGTGTGACACAGAGGCACAGATATTATAAATTACCCACCTGTACTTCAGCCCAAACTGCCTTTTTTCGTCCTGGTCTATTTTATGTGAAGCTTTCCTTGGCACCAATGGGCAGAATTAATCACTTAAAATGAGTCTCTTGTTAAGAAATGAGCTATATTAGTTAATGCTTGTGGCTTGCTTGCTCTTTCTTTCTTTCTCTCTTTTCTCTTTCTTTTTTTTTAAGTAGTCTGTTTTTCCTCCAGCTGGCTGTGTTTGGTGATCTGCAGTTTCACTACATTGAATCTAGGTGGAGGATTCTCTTTTATCTTGCTAAGGATGTTTTGGGCTCTGTGAAACTGAATTCGTGTCTTCCGTCACTCTGAGAAAGTCCTCTCCCTTCAGATATTACCTCTGTGCACTTCTTTTTCTCCTCCCTTCTGGGTCTTCACTTACATAAATACAAGAATCACTCTGTCCCCCTGTGGACGTTGTTTTATCTTCCTGTGCTGTATTGATCTTCCAATTCACCCATCTATTTTTTTTTTTTTTCCCCAGTAAATTCTGACCCCATGGGGGGGTTCGAACTTATAACCCCAAGATTAGAGATGCATATTCTAGTCACAGAGTCAGGCAGGCTCGCCACACCCATCTATTCTTAAAACTGTCCTTTAAATTTTTAATTTTCATTGTTTCTTGCGGGGTTAGAAATTCACGTAATTCTTTTGAAATATGCTGTGTGATTTAAAAAATTCCCTGCAGAAGAAGGGCGGAAATGGTGGGGGAAAGGGAGAGAGGCAAACCATGAGAGACTCTTGAATGCTGACAAAAACTGAGGACTGATGGATGTGGGGGGGGGGAAGGGGGGATGGGCATAGAGGAGGACACTTATGGGGATGAGCACGGAGGGTTATGTGGAAACTAATTTGACAATAAACTATTTGTAAAAANCAGGCTCTGAGCTGGCAGTCAGCACAGACCCCGACGCGGGGCTCGAACCCACGAACCGCGAGATCATGACCCAAGCGAAAGTCGGACGCTTAACCGACTAAGCCACCCAGGCGCCCCTCCCTGCAGATATTTTTAAGCCTGTCTGTAATTTTGTGTGTGTGCAGAGTAAGGATACTTGTTCTGTATTCTGTGTCTAGTAACCCAGTGTCTGAATGCCTTTGGCCTCTTTTTATTGTCTCTTTTTGATTTCTATCTCTGTTGGTTCTCATTTATGGTGACATGTTTCCTTGCATGTTTTGTTACCTGTTGTCCCTAAAAAATTCTCAGCAGGAGTAATTTGAGATCAAGGATGAAGGCCCTCCAGACACAATTCCTATTTGTAGGGGTACCACAAGGCTTGGACCACGTTAAACTCTGTTTAAATTTATGACTTGAGGCTCAGCCAGCTGGTATGTAAAATCCTGTTTACATCTGCTTCTCTCCTTAACCATTGGGGGTCCCCCCTTAAGGTTGGGAGGCAATGTATTCGCCAAACACCCCCTTCCCTTGAGCAGGCCTTGACCTATTGTAGATAGCTCTTTCTCTCTCTCTGCAGAGCTGTCAAGACCAATGTGAACATTTGTCCAGATCAGCAGGTCCCCAGGGAAAAGGATTCTGCTTGATTCTCTGAGTTGGAGCTTCTTTTCCTCTTTGGCCTCTGAATTCTGTATGTGATCAGCAGTTCAATACCATTCAGAATTTCTTTTTTTGTTTGTTTGTTTGATGGAACCCGTTTGGGTTGCTTTGAGCAGCAGTGTTTGTCTGAACAACCTAGCCCACAGTAAACAAGTAGCAGAAGTCACAGCTGTATTTCTTTCTTAAAACTCACATGTGGCTGCCTCCTTTGCATCTAAACTTTCTCTCTTATAGGGTTTTCTGTGAGCATTTTTTCACATTCTACCTTCAGGTCCTTTCAGAACTACTGCTCCTGTGAGACTTTCCAAAGACATTCTTTCCCGAGTCCTGCTGTGTTATCCATTGATAATGTGGAATAAAGCCTCTGTTTGCATAGAGAAGACAAGAGACCAGTTATAGTGCCTTAAAATGTTCACTGATTTTTTTTTTTAAGTAATATCATTCATTTGTAAAAAGAAGCTATAGACACAAGACAAAATAATGTGAAACTTAAGATTTCCTGAATTATGTTTAGGGAAAAATCTAAATGTGGTGCCTTTTGCAGCAGATGGTGAAGGTTAAGAACATGGGCTTTGGAGTCAGACCTAGTATGGTCAGCCAGCTCTTCACTGGCTGCCTGCATGCCCTTGCCCCACGGCGGACAGCGGCAGAGCAGAGACTGAGTCATTCTTTTTCATCATAGTATCCATGGTGCCTGGCATAGAGCAGACGTCATCAAATACTGGAGGATGATTTAGAGATTGTTTAGCATAAAGTTAAGTTAAAAGCATGGTTCTAAAGTCAGAGCTGTTGGTTTGAATTCTGACTCTTTGATTTACTAGCTGTTTGTTCTTCAGCACATTAGTTAGGCTTTCCATCTTCAGTGTCTTCATCTGTAAGATGGGGCAATGATTGCGTTGATCTCGTTGGGTTATTTTGCAGATTAATGAGAAAATACATGTGGAATATTTGGTGTAGTATGTATACATATTAAGCCCCCCAGTAAGAGTAAACTGTATTCTGTAAGCTTCGAATCCCTTCACTATAAAATTGACAGTACAGTACTGATTCCACAGAGTGGTTCAGAGTATCAAATGAAGTTATACATGTACATTACTTAGCACAGGATTTAATAAGAACCCAAGGAATGATTGCTGCTATTAGTATTAGTGGCAGTGTTTACAATAAACTTAAGAAAATGGATGTTTTCTAAATATTAGTCTGAAATTGTCTTTTATGTAAATTCATTTGGTCTAATGATTTTATAGTTGAACTGTCTCCAACATTGGGACTTTTTTTGAAAGGTGAAAAAGACTTGTTAACACATATGTGTAAAACATTTTTATTAGGCTAGATTTGGTGTTAAGTCTCTGACTAAGTTATAGTAGATACAGTTAGTATGTGCAGGTACTGTGTTAGTAGATAGAGTATCTGTGTCTACTATAACTACTATCTGTATCTACTATACCTATTGTATCTACTATATCTACTGTAACTACGTTAGTAGATAAAGTATCTGTATCTCCTATAACTACTATCTGTATCTACTCTACTACATATAACTACGATGTTAGTAGTTACTGTATCTACTATAGCTAACTGTATCTACTATAACTTCAGGACAACAGCATCTTTAAAACTATAGCTTGCAGTTCCCTACTGTAAATGGAGGTGTAAAGAGATACATAAAGGTAAAATTCTATTATAACAAGCCCCATGGAGTATAGAGATTTATTCTTGTACTGGAATTTTACTGGGAAAAGTAAACATTACACTGACAACCAGCTGCAGTTGTAAATAAGAGTTGACAGCCAGGAGTTTTCTGCTTAAGTTTGTAGAGGATGAAGACTGAGTAGTACCTCTAAAAGCTCTGTGTTTGCATCTCATTTACTGTCCTGGCTACCACTGCCTCATCTACTACCACCGCTGCTACCTACATTATCTGAATGCCTACTGCGTCTAGGCACTGGCCCAAACTATTTACATTAACTACCTCGTTTTATCTTTCAACAATTTTCTGCAACAGTTAATTATTAACACTATCGTGTAGGTGGGGAAACTGAGACTTAAGGAAGCCAAGGAGCTTTGGCTGGAATCACCCAGCTAGTAAGTCAAATGAGTTTAACCCTACAACCACCATACTGTCTTGCTTTCCTAACAGAACTCAGTGCACATTTTTCTGATAAATTATCTCACTGATAACTTGGTGGGGATAAAAAGAAAGGAGGGCTCTTATTTTCAAGGATCTGAGAGTTTGAGGAGTAAATCAGTGAATAATTATTGAACAGAAATATTCTTTAAGAGTCATGATGGGTGGCTTCTTTTATTCAGTTGCCCTTATTTCTATGTCTTTTGAATGGAGTTAGGATGTGAGGCTCCAGTAATTAAGTAGAGTAGATAAGAACTTTGCTTCTGCCCTTAATCTCTGCTCTCAGATAGACCGCACAAGACTAGGGACAGAACTTGTAGCAGGAAAAATGAACACATCATAAATTTAGGCTGGGTAGAAAGATTCCAGAGTTTTCAGACTACAATAATTTCTAACTTTGTGGGATTCTTTGAGTATTTGACTTTTTAAAGGTCTCTTGTCTTTTTTTCTCCTCTTCCCCTTTTATTTGGGGATTGTCTGGGGGAAAACATTGTTTTGTATTAGGACAATGATAAGGCTTGGGAGAAAATAAACGTGTAATTGGAATTTTGAAGTTTCTTCTAGGTTTTAAATACTCTGCACCCAATTCTGGGCTTTTGTCGGGGCGGGGGTGCGGGGGAGCGGTTAGTTCCTCACACCACTACACAATTTTTGGACATCAGCTGGGTTTCCTACAATTCAGTTCCATTCTGATACTGCCTACCCAGAGGTAGCATGGAGTTCTACAGGTTAAGGCCTGAATCCCATAAGGCTGCCTCCCTCCACTTTACAGGCTAATCACTGGTCTGCTTTGTTAACCTGTGCTTCTGACTGGCTCTCAATCAGTTTTTCCCATAATTCCCTCTTTGGGTTTAATTAATTTGTCAGGGTAGCTCACAGAACTCAGTTTATTCACCAAATTACTAGTTTATTATAAAGAATATTAAAGGATACAAATCAGCAGCCAGGTAAAGAGATATGAAAGGTAAGGTCCGGAACAAAGGACTTGTACCCTCAGGAAGTTTGGGGGCTGGCACTCTGGCATGTGGAAGCTTTCTGAGTCACTCTCCCTAAGCTCTCTAGATCCCTCCTTTGGGTTTTTATGGCAGCTTCATTACCACTGATTGATTAAATCAGCCATTGGTGATTGATCCAACCCCTGGCACTGGTCTCCTTGGAAATCATGGGGTGAGACTGAGTTCCAATCTTTGATTTCCAGTTGGTTCCCTAGGTAAGCAGCCCTCAGCTTTAGGTGTGGTGAGAGAAAGTCACTTCATTGACATAACAAAAGATACCTTTATGGCTGTCATTATTTAGGAAATTCCTAAGGTTTTAGGAGCTCTACCACAAACAGGGACAAAGACCAAATATGTACTTCTTATTATAAAATCCTAATATCGTGGTTTTGGTCTTGAGAGAAATAAAGGGTTAGCTAAACTTCATGATTCTAACTAGGTTTATAAAGCTAAAATGTAAGTATTTAAAGGGAAGTTTTATAATAGCATAAAAGATACGCGGTCTTCTAGAATTTTCCTCGGGACTATTTCTTAGGTACAGAATATGGCTAACAAAGTAGAGGAGAATAAGAAAGCTTTTACTGGTACCACATGGCTCCTAATATAGCCCCAGGGAAAGGTATTACCAATTATAAGAGAAAGAAGACACTTAGAACGGTCACCCATATTTGGAGTTAAATCCATTAGGTGATCAGATTTTATCCTTCATGTATTTTTCTGTAAAATGTTTTTAGTGTAGGTATATTTATGAACACTGCTTGTTATTATGTTTGTATAAGCCAGGAAATTATGAGACTGGCAGCTAGGCATTGATTTATTTGAACATATAATTCTATGTCCCTTTAGATTTTAAAAAATAGAAAATGGTTTTATAATTGGTAATCATGGATTTTTATAGGTAGAGCTTACAAAATCTTCAGCTAAAGATGTGACAGATTTTCCTAAGTTATTTTAAGAGTAACATCATGGATGTTTCTTTTGTATCATAGCCTTTAAATCTACAAGACAGCAGCCATCCCGAAATGTTGCTACTAAGAATTATACAGAGGTAAGAAAAAAGTTTTTATAATTGTTTTTTAATAATTTATGCTCCCTGCATTCTGAATTGTCAGCTCTTTGATCTACAAAGTAAACAAGAGAAGGAAAAGTGTGGAGCATTAAAGCTGGAGAGAACTTTAGATTATCTAGACTGAAGGCTTCTAGGATTTTTATTTTAATTAATAATGGATTTCATGATTAGAAATCCATAAATGTACATATCCAGTAACATTTTTAAGGATAACAGTGTTGAGCCAAAAAGGTCCATACATGAGATATTAATATTGCAGATAGGATTTCAGTGCATATAGAGGTCTTATGAAATCTGGCTTCCTGTTGTTACTTACTCTTTCGTAATACTGTGGCTTGTGCCCTGATGGCTGGAGCTAGACTCAAGACAAACTAAGTGGTCAGAATCTAAGGACCTCTGTGTTCAGCTCTAGATTTAATATAGGCCCTCTGCACCTCCTTTGGATTCCAAGAATTTGTATGGGCTTGAGTCTCCTATTACCTTACTTTCAAAACCCACTCTGTCCAAAGCCAGTGCTCTCCCGTCTGTGTCAGGATATCTCCGCAGCGGCACTATTGACCAGATAAGTCTTGGACCAGGTGAGTCTTACTGTGAGGGACTGTTCTGGGCATTGTACAGTTTTTAGCAACATCTTGGCCTCCACCCTTCAGATGCCAGTAGCAGCCCCCCTAATTGTGTCAATCAAAAATGTCTCCAGACATGTCCATCCATAGTTTCCAGAATCGGAGTTGGAGTTAAAAATCTCTTCCAGTTGAGAATCCATGTTCTGTGTCATACCTGCCCCAGCAACATTTTCTCAAATTTCTTTTCATCTTTTGAGTATGTGACACAGTTCATCACCCCACTTCTCCGAGAAACTTCTGTCGTTTGTTCTTTTATCTCTCTTAACTTCATCTTTCCCCCCTTCCTGATGTCACTGATATATGGGTATACCAGTGCTAACTTTCGTCCTTACCTCCATTTTATTGTTTATATTCAGCTGTTGCCTGCTATCACTTCAAGATCATCATATCTAAAAACAAAATTATCATCACATCCACAAGGAGGTTTCTTTTCTAGCATTTTCTAATATAAAGGCAGGAACATGAGTTCAAAAGCAACAGGTAGTGCTAAACCTTTTTTTCACTTTTTGACTGTGGTTCCACGATGGTAGATTAGAGGAGTGTTGAATACATTTGATTCCTTCAAGGCACAGAAGACAATGTTCTGATAGTTTTATGGCAAAATGCAGAAATATTAGCTGGATTCATAGCTCCTTAGACAACTGCATTTAACAACTTTTTATTAATAGTTCAACGTCAGCCTAGAGGGAGAGATCTCGGGTGCTCTTGTTTTGTCCTTGGCTTCATTAGTTAGTTGAAGATGTAGCAAATGTGCATATTAAATGTCAACACAAAATGTAGAGGAATAAGTAGTGTTTTGGATGATAGAATCAAGAATCAAATATCTTACTGGACCCTAAAACTACCAAATGATGTTTAACAGGGATGAATGTAATAGAAAGCTAGATATACAGTACTTTCCACGTGGTCCTATACCAAATTTTAAACTGGGAATGGTCTCCTAAACAGTAATGGTCTCCTCATTAGAACCAAGAAAATCACAGGCACTGTCTGTACATGACCCTATGTGAGTCATTCTCCTTAGGTGCCCCGGCTGCTGTGGTGTCCGGGAGAAAGGAGAGCTTAGACCCATTGTATAGAAAGAATACCATTTGTGATTGAAGACATTGGAGGGAGGTCAAGCTAAGATTCAGTTTTAACAATTGCTCTTCGTGTGGTTTCTGCCCCCTTTTTTGTGACTTTTTCGGTATATTTAAAAAAAGATTTGGGGCGCCTGGGTGGCTTAGTCAGTTAAGCGTCCGACTTTCGCTTAGGTCATGATCTCACGGTTTGTGGGTTCGAGCCCTGCATCGGGCTCTGTGCTGACTGCCAGCTCAGAGCCTGGAGCCTGTTTCAGAGTCTGTGTCTCCCTCTCTCTCTCTGACCCTCCCCTGTTCACGCTGTCTCTCTCTCTCTCCTAGAAATAAATAAAAATATTAAAAAAAAAAAAAAAAGATTTTTCTTGAGATTTAACTATTCTTTTTTTTATGTTTATTTTTGAGAGAGACAGAGCATGAGCAGGGGTGGGGGAGAGAGAGAGAAAGACACAGAATCTGAAGCTGTCAGCACAGAGCTCGAACCCAGGAACCATGATATCATGACCTGAGCCAAAGTTGGACGCTCAACCAGCTGAGCGACCCAGGCGCCCCTCAATGATTTATTCTTAGTTAGATGTTCATTCCCGTAAAAATTACTCCCTGTTTTATTTTTCCCTCAGACGATTGAGGTGGACGAGTCAGATGAGGAAGAAGACATATTTCCTACCACTTCAAAAACAGAGCAGAGGTAGGTACAGTGGCTTCGTGCAGAAAGAAACAGCTGAAGAAATTTAAAATTATTATCCAAAGTTCTGTTGACACGTTTTTCTATACCATAGAAGTTTTAACAGATTTCTTTTCAACTGCTCAGGTAAACAGAGAAGTGAAAAACAGATGGGAGTCTGGTTTACAGAGTTGGTGCGGCATTATTACAAGTACTTTCCAACGAACCTTACCCTGTCGTTTGTTTCCTCTTGTGTTTATTATCCAGAGATTTTCCCGATGGAGTCCTGTGTTCTAATTAACAGAAAGTAGTTTTGTATATTTTTTAGTGTTTGATTTCAGCTTCTCTTCTTTATTATCGCATTTTTATATACTGAGTTACACAGGGTGCTGTGCTCAATGCTGAAAAGAGGATCATGTTGACTTTTTCTACCTCGGAGCACTTGTGTGCTTTCCCTGTCCTTTTGGTTTTTGCCATTTTTGCTATTACTGTAAGAATCAACTTGATTCACTATTGCTGTGTTCTCTGTGTTAGTATTTCAGGTGAACACTGCTTAACTTAAGCTCAGTTAATGAAAACTTCTACTTAGGAAAATAATCAAGAGCTTTTCTTAATACTAATTTCCTGTGTGAGCATTACCTTAGGTCTGATGGGGGACATAATAAATGTTTTAACATGGTTACTGCCTTTAGGCAACATAAATTGTAGTGGAAAAGAGAGATGAACACATTTCAGTCCATTAAAGGATGACGAGTCAGTGCATAATTGTGCGTGAAATTTTATGATACAGAGTAGATGTGAGTGCTCATAGGCCCTTAGAAAATGGAGCAAGAACTGTGGGCTGTGAAAGAAGAAAAGACTTTAAAGAATGAGTAAAATTTACCTGATATCTTGAAGGTAGGAATCACCTGGAGCAAAGGGGTAGAAAAGAACAGCCAAGAGTGGTAGCCTGAGCAGGAGCTGTAGCAGCAAGGGGGACAATGAGAAAAAACTCTACTTCTGTGTTTCTCACTCTGTTTTTTATGATCTCAACCTTTATTTCATTACCTAAGGATAGAAATTAAATTTGGCTTAAATTAATTAAATTTAATTTCTCCCTATCAAGAGAAATTAAATACTAAAGAATGAAATTTTACTGGGTAGGATTGAGCTTGGGAAAGGTCAAAACCATTGTGGTATCTGAGTATTTTACCCCCACCCCATCTCCCATAACCAGTTTTCATTCCTTGTGTGTGACTAACCCCTCCAGGAATATGTGCTTTATGTGAATTAAGGGTCTGTGTCCTAAGAATTGGTAGGGATAGTTCCCTATCCATTTATTTCTTCACTTAAACATTATGCTAGGAGCTGGGGATCGAAACACAAAAGAAATGTTCCCTTCCTTCAAGGAATTTCCACGTTAGCAGTATCCTAATTACAAGATACTAATAATCCAACAAGGTGAATGTTTTATTCCAGTACATTGAAAGCTGAGGGAAGTGACAGTGTCTTCCTAGACTAGGTCCTTGAAGGCTTCACAAAGAAGGTAGGTCACATTTGGGCCGATGATCAACAGATGTGTAAGAATGCTTAAAGAAAATTGTAAAGAATTTCTTCTGCCCTTGAAGGTCTTTCTAGCTGGGCTAAAAACCAAATTGCCATGAGACAGATTAACGGGAGAAAATCAAATTTAATTTTGTACATAGGGGAAATCCACACAAACATGGAAATTCCAAATATATATGTCATTCTGATCTAAGGAGAAGGGGATAGGGGTCTGGGACGTCAAAGGGAAGGAAAGCAAAATCTTCATAGGAAGATTATAAAATGTAAATGCTTGGTAAATAAATGTTTGCCGGGCCGCTCAGAATCAGTAGGACAAGAAGAACTTTGATCAAACTGGCCTTGCTAGGTCTCTCTTGTCTGTCATACCTTAATGACAGATGTCATAATGTAAGAATCTATGGCGATACCACTCTTTCTAGAACAAATCTTCTACGAAACTCTTTGTAAGCATTTGAGAGGAAGGTAAAGAGCTTTTCCTGAATCTGCTGGGGTTTGATTGCTTTTTAACTCAAAATAATCTTCATGCCCAAGTGGCCCAGCTGGGGTGGCCATGCCCTTGGCCCCTATAAAAGATGTAGCAATAAAGAGTAATGCCACAGGCCACAGACATCTGCTCTGAAAGGGTGATCCGGGAAGGCCTCTGAGGAAGTTACGTGTAAGCTGAAATCTTACTGAAAGAGACTTGGCCTTGCCTACAGCATAGGGAAGACACATGTAAAAGTTTCTTGAAGAAGAAACAGGCATACTGTAGGTTAGGAGCCAGTGACTAAAACCTGGAAAAGAAGGGAAATGATACAAGAATAGGAGACGCAGGAGCATATCATGAAGCACGAACAGTAGAGCAAGGTAAGGAATTCGGACTTTATTATGGATACAGGGGAACACAGAAGGATTTGGGGAGCCTCGTGGCTCCACGGGATTTCTATTTGTGAAGGACCCCTGTGGTGCGGGAGGCAGGGCACTGCCAGGCTCGCCTGTTGCCGCGGGGAGTCCCCGAGAGGATGGAGACTCGCACCGAGTGGTAGCAGGGGAGAGGGAGAGAATATACATGGTTTCAGGTTATATTGTGAGGTAGACATGACAGCAGTTGAGGACAGATTGGATATTTGGAGTGAGGGAGAATGACGTATTATGGTTGATTTCCAGGTTTCCTATTTGAACACTTAGATATTGACATATACTGAGAAAGGCATAAAAGAAGAGAAACAGATTTTTGTAAAGAATGATAGGCAGGGTGATGGGCACAGAGGAGGGCACTTGTTGGGATGAGCACTGGGCATTATACGGAAACCAACTTGACAGTAAACTATAATAGGGGCGCCTGGGTGGCTCAGTAGGTTGGGCGTCTGATTTCGGTTCAGGCTGTGAACTCATGGCTCGTGGGTTTGAGCCCCACGTTGGGATCTGTGCTGACAGCCAGCTCAGAGCCTGGAGCCTGCTTCAGATTCTGTATCTTCTTCTCTCTCTGACCCTCCCCTGCTCATTGCTCATGCTCTTTGTCTGTCTCTCAGAAATAAATTTAAAAAAAAAAAAAACATTAAAAAAACTATAATAAAAAAAACATAATCAAATTCTGCTTTAGACATGGAAAATTTGAGATGCCTGCAAAATTGACATGAAGGGGGTTGGTTATAGACAATTGGAGATGCGGGTCCAGAGCTGAGATCAGAGGTTTGGATGAGAACTAAATTTACTCCTGAGCAGCATATAACTGATATACTGATACTTCACTTGAAGCCATTGGAATTGATTGATCACCTTGAAAGGGAAGGTAGAGAGAAAAGAGGGCCTGTGTTCTAGTACCTGGGTTTCAACCTTTAGAATTTAGGAAAAGTAGAAAAAGCAACAAGGAAGACCCGAGAAAGAGCGGGGAGAGAGAGTATAGAGTTGCCAAGGCCACGGCCAGCCTTCGTAGGAGTACACAATACCGTGATGGGCTCAGATGCAGGTTAGATTGTATATTTGTGGTCCACAGGTGAGGGTCATTGAGGTAGTTAGCTCATAGAAAGATGTACTTGAATTTCTGTACATCTTTTTTTTTTTTTTTTTAATATTTTTTATTTATTTCTAGGGGAGAGAGAGAGACAGCATGAGCAGGGGAGGGTCAGAGAGAGAGGGAGTCACAGACTCTGAAACAAGCTCCAGGCTCTGAGCTGGCAGTCAGCACAGAGCCCGACGCGGGGCTTGAACCCACGAACCGCGAGATCATGACCTAAGCGAAAGTTGGATGCTTAACCGACTAAGCCACCCAGGCGCCCCTTGAATTTCTCAGTCTTGAGCTACACTATTCAACTTGAGTCCAGTATCAGGACTCCTTTGGTTCCAGACGATAGAAACCTAACTCAGATTTGCTTAAGGGAAAGGAGATTTTCTTGAAAGAATATCCATCCTTGTTGGGTCATTCTTTATGAATTAAAACACAAACAAAAACAGGTGTAGCTTTTGGAGATTTTTTTCAGTAGTGCATCAGTAACTACTGAATTGAGAAGAATATAGAAGTTTCGCTTGCATGAAGTCCTTAGTTTTCATTATTGGAGCTAATGAAAATGCAGTTTTAGTATGTTTGACATATATTTTCAGGGTATTAAAACTATCATGATGTTGCCATTTTGGGTTGTCTACTTTTCAGAAGAATAAATGTCTGTTGACTTCTTTTTTACCTATGAGGTAATAATAGTAACTGAAGTGTTCGGTCAGGCACTGTTCTGAGCCTTTACATGTGAATTAGCTTGTTTGGTGCCCACAGCCATACCAGGAGGTATTCATGGTTAGAACTACATTATCCTGGGGTGCCTGGGTGGCTCTGTCGGTTAAGCACCATCTCTTGCTTTCAGCCCAGTTCATGATCTCGTGATTCATGAGTTCAATACCTGCAGCAGGCTCTGTGCTGACAATACCTGCTTGGGACTCTGTCTCTCCCTCTCTCTGCCCCTCACCTGCTGGCTCCTGCACACGGGCTTGCTCTTTCTCAAGATATATATATATATATTTTTTTTTTTTTTTTTAAACTGCATTATCTCCATTGTACCTTTGAAGAAGGCGAGGCACCGTAGGATAAGTGGCTTACCTAAGGTGACCCAGCTAGTCACACAGCCAAGACATTCTGCTCCAGAGCTGTCTCTCTTGTCGCTTCTGAACATAATAGATTAACCTCTCAAACCTTTGTGCTGTCAGTAAGAATCATTTAAATGATGAGAGGCAATTTAGAAATTAACATTTTGGCAGCTGATCTGAAATCAGCCATGGCAGATTGGTGTTTCTGATGACAGCTACTGAATGGCACAGTTTAGGCTGGTTTTAAAGAGTTATTTTACTAACGGCAGGGTTTGTATGGGTTAGTTTGATTATAATTTACAGTACTTGGACTCTGCTACGTACCTAGGTGAAGACCTTGTGCGAGTTTTTTGGAGTTTTTTTGTTTGTTTACTTGTTGTGCCTGAGTGTCTTCGTTTATAAAATGAATATACTAATATTTACTCCATAGGGTTATGAGGCTTAAGTGAGTTAATGTTTATCAAATACTAAGTACATTGTCTGGCACACACTAATAGCTCTATAAGTGCTTAGTAAATAAATTAAGTAACACGCTAGGGAAAACAGAACAAGAGTAATAGGGGGAAGGGTAAACAGTAAAAGCACAAATATGCTTGCAGTTAACTTGAAAACAGAAATAGCTTCCAGTTGTAAAACTCCTTTCTGCCAGATGGGCTATGGAAAGCCTGTTTTCCCCTGGATAAGTTGTTCTAAACTCTGTCCTTGTCCTGGGAATAAGAGGGCCCTTCAGGTTTGCTAGAACTGGCGGACCTTCCCTTAAAGCAGTGGGTACAAGAAGACCCTGGCCCAGCGGGAGGAGCAGAGGTTGGGAGGATTCTATTAAACCTTGCAGTGGCAGGGAACTAAATGTTTTTATGGCAACTTTTATGTACCAGGAGCAATGTAAGGCCAATTTAACACATTGCCCTGTGATTATAACACCAGTGCAGCTGATTTACTGACTGAACATCTCTAGACCAGGAACTCTAATTTATGGCCCCAAATGCTATCTGAACAAAGATGGAGAAAACTTCTACAACTCCTGGCACTCGATTTGATGCACGCCTCTCTCTTGAGTTTAGCCATTCACCTGAAGCTAATCAAATGAAACCCTTTCTCATATCCAGGACAAGGCCTGTTTCTTCAACCCAGCAATCAAAACAGTAGAACCATTTCTTTCCCTCCCCCTTGCCGATTTCTAAGGACAGGATCCTTCACAGATCTGTAGGTGTATGGGGCCCCCAGAACTAGGACTCTTGCTATAAGATGAGCCACCATCCATCATAGATGACTGGCTTGTCTCTGGGTTTCATGGTTATTTGGGGAGACATCAGAAGCAGAGGCACATCTCAGTGGGTGTTTCCATAAATCCCACCCCTTTCTCCTGGCCCCCAACAAGAATACATGAACCTAACTTTGGCCCCAGGGCACTGTGGCTTTATGCTCTTGATGACCTGCTTCTTCTGTCACAGGTAGAAACAAGTCCACAAGTGATCAGTTAGTTCCTGCATCGGTCTCAAGTATAGAGATGGGCACTCCCCAAATGGATCAATTGATAAATTTCCTTGATCTGTACTTCTAAAACCATGTTGCTCTTCAGGTTTGCTTGACAAATCCTCATCTCCTTTACTTTATGCATAAGAACCTGTGGATTTTTCTCTCTCCTTCTGACACAAGACCTCTTGATTCTCCACCTGTTTTCCAGACCAGACCTTCAGACATCTTTCTTTTGCTGTAATAACATCCCAAAGAATAATAACAAATTAGCAACTAAGAACTCACAAATGCTGCTTTCATTTAAGAGAGAAGTCAGCAAACTTTATTAAAGAGCCCAACAGTAAATATTTTAGGCTTTGCAGACCAAGAGGCAAAATTGAGGATATTCTCTAGGTATTTATGTAACCATCTAAATGGACCGCATTTCAAAATGTGAAAACCATACTTACCTCAGAGGCAGTAAAAACCCAAGCAGGCTCGACAGGCTGCGCTGGCCATAGTGTGCTGGCCCCTGATCTAAGAAGACAGAATTCTTACAGCTAAAAAGACATACGAATATAAGTTTCATTAGCACAAGTTAAGCTTTATAAGGATGGGAATCATGATCTTCTTGTACGCTGATATTTCCCACGGCCTATCAGAGTACCTAGAAAAGAATAAACACTCAGTATATATTTGCTATTTGATTTAGATTGAACACAAATAATACAGTGACACAACCCTAGAAAGCAGTGAGCCTTTCCTAAAATCGTTTTAGCCTGTTAAAGAAACAACTGATACTTGAATAAGAAGTATTTCAGTGTTGCCACAGTTTTTAGGAGTGGGGGATGGTAGCAGACACATGTTAATATATGCTGAGCCCTGTAAGAATAAGCAAGTATCAGTGTAGTGTTTAATGTAAGTCAGGCCCTGATCTAAGTCTTTAAGTATATTATTAACACAATAAATCTCTCAAAATTATTATTATCCTCATTTTATGGATGAGGAAATTGAGGCAGAGAGGCTAAGTAACTTGCCTAAAGCCACATAGCTAGTAAACAACAAAACTGGAATTCAGACCCTGGCCCCAGCATTCTTTTTCTCACCATTAAGTTTTTATGCCACTAATGTATATTGAAGGGAAGGTATTAGCTATCTTTATTCATGGCTGCTACGAGAATGAAACATTTAGCTTAAAAGGCACTTCTGATGAATTCTGATTCATTTTCCTTGTTTTTTCCATGTTTCTGCCTCAGGTGGCCGAGCACATCATCATCATCATCCAGCAAGCGCATGTCCCAGAGCCAGATAGCTAAAGGGGTCGATTTTGAATCCGATGAGGTAATAAAGTAATATTATTCAATCTTCTTTAATTCTTAGCTATTCATAAAATTTAAATAAGGACTGGGGTACCTGGATGCCTCAGTCGGCTGAGTGTCTGACTTTGGCTCAGGTCATGATCTCACAGTTTGTGAGTTCAACCCCTGCGTTGGGCTCTGCTGTCAGCACAGAGCCTGGAGCCTGCTTCAGATCCTCTGTCCCCCTCTCTCCCTGCCCCTCCCCTGCTCATGCTAATGCATGCTCTCTTTCTCTCTCTTTTTCTCTCCCTCTCTCTCTGAAAAATAAGCAAACATTTTTTAAAAATGTACATAAGGACTGCTAAGCTAGTTCCTGGGAATTATTTTTTAAAATAGTTTCATTGGTAACCTTCTTTTGAACTGCACTTAAGATGTTAAGAGTCCGTAAGTAGCATCTGTCGAGTAACTGTGAGTATAAATACTCATATATAAAAGGCCTGCCAGTTTTTGAAATCTGAAATTCGGTGAGTTCTTATTTAATTTGCCCTGTTAATGGATCAGAATAGTTGTTTCCAGCTTCTGTCATTATATTTGGAGAAGTGATAATGGTATTCTAAAAGTTTTTAATGTTACATTCATAAAATATTTATAAAGTACCCACTTGTATGCTTACACATTTCCTGTATAAAATGGTACATGGCAGTGATATGCATTCACAAAGGTTGTCAGATATGGACTAAAATGTTAAATGGCAGGATGTGTGAAAGAAACCAATTCAAGACAGTTGTCTGGGCCAGAACACGATCAGAGAAGGAGAAGGACGAGGCGGACTCAGGACTTGGGTCTTGGCTTTATTCGTTTGTTGATTCAGCTACCTTGAATTAAAGTCTGGCCCTTCCCGTTCCTCCATGGCAGCCATTTGAGAGGACTTTGCTAGTTTGTGTTGAATTGTTTTAAGGCGTTTCTCTTAAGTCTATAAACTTTTTTATTTACTTTTATTTAAAAAGTTTTTCAATTGTGATAAAAACACATGGCATAAAACTTGCCATCTTCACCATTTTCCAGTGTGCAGCGCACTGGTGTTCAGCATATTCACCTCATTGTGCAACGGATCTCTGGACTTTATTCATCTTTCAGAACTAAAAATCTTCACCCATTGAACAACTCTTGATTTCCCCTCCTCCCAGCCCCTGGTAACCACGATTCTTCTTTTTGTTTCTATGAATTGGACTGATTTAGATACCTGCTCTAAGTGGAGTCATAAGTCTTTGTCTTTTTGTGACTGGCTTATTTTACTTAGCATATGCTCTCTAGGTTCATCCCTGCTGTAGCATGTGACTCACAGCTTTCATTTTGGGCTTCAACTGTTACCATGCTCTTGTATCCCAGCTGAGGTTTTGAACCAGCTTGAGGAGAAGACTCACCAACAATTCAGGCTGCAGAGAGAAATGGCAGCATGAGCCTAATCTACCTATGAAATAACTAACATGTTTTTTCCAGGAGGGGAGCGAGCAGTTAACCTTTATTTGTTAATGCAAAGCATCTAGATAGACATGTGGTTATAGGTTACCGTTAAAGATTTGTATTCATTCATGTTAACAGCAAAGAAAAACTATTGACTAATTATCACACTCCCATTTGGATTTACCTCTGGTTTATTAATAAGTTCTGCCTTTGATAATAGTGGAAAATAAATCAATAAATGTAAATGAGTTTGTATTTTTCAAGGCATCCATTTCTCACCAGTAGCCAACTTTGCTAACATTTGAATGTGTTAATACCACCAACAAAGCCTAATACCAAATAATTACCCCTTTTTATTAGTGTCTTAAAAGAAACATAAATCAAAAATTTATAAGCAATTTTACTTTCTCTTTGGAATATTTGTTTTTAAATAACCTTTTAAATAAAAAATAAATAAAAGGGGTAATAGACTTGAAAATGCCTTAAAGCAATTCAACAAATTATCCTCATCAAATTTTATAATTTGAGCTTCTCTGAGGTTTTAGTTTTCCTTCTCTTTAACTAAACTTAGTTTTGATACCTGATATATTCCTGTCTGCTCTTACTATGCCTATAATCTGTAGCCTAGTTCCATTGTGGGACTTCTTTGATACTACTTCTTTTCCCAGAAAGATATTTGAAAGATTGATTTGCTAGATGTTTTTTGCAGCAGTCTGAGGATAGCTGTCTATCTCTAGCATGAAATTGGGAAGAGGAAATAAGAATTACAGCATTTTCTGAGTTAAGCCATGTGGCTTCATTATTTTGGAGGGTAAGTTTCCAGAACATTAGGTAACACCAGTAATAAAATATAATTGGGAAAAAACCCATTCAAAAATCAAATAGGAATAATTTGAAGAGTATTAATTTTCTTGGCTTCCCCTCACCTTTTTTTTTTTTTTTTTTTGCCTTCATAGAAATGTGTATGGTACATATTGCAGGTACACACACACACACACCATGTTCAGTTATTTTCAGTGCTTCTTAGCAAGCTGCTAGGGAAGGGAAGAGAAACTAAATGAACAAACTGGTCATATTTATAAGGGGAATAGAAAACTGAGTGCCTGCCTCATGTGAAAGGAGGAAACGGCTGTTACTGGTGGTGCTTACTCAGAATAACATCCGTCTTGCCCCCGTGAAGCGTGGAACAACCACTCACGTAACATTTGTGTCATTTCAGGGTGACGACGATGATCCTTTTCTCAACACGAGCTCTTTAAGAGGAAACAGGAGATAATATATTTAATGGCAGTTTGAAGCATTCAAGATTCAGGAAAAATCAAAACACTATAAGCCAGGAGTTTACAGTTGAAGATTTTTTTAAGTATTGCTGTTAATTAAAGAATTTGAAAAAGACTTACTTATCAGAGAAACTTAATGTATGAGAACTTATGTTTTGACATATCATTTCATTAATATGACTCCTTTAACTGAGAAACCTCCCAGCTCGAAGGCATACAGAATGGCCTTGGTTCTCTGTATTTTTTAATCTAGTTGTTAACATTACCTGGGGATGCTCTACAAAACCAGAATGTGATTTTCTTCACATATATTAGGGTGCATCTTACTGAATGAGAGCTTTGCTTAAATGCCATTCTTGAGTAAGGATAAAAGAAATCTATCACTCTGTGTTTCTGTTTCATTATCAAAGACTCTGTCAGCATTTTAGTGGAGTTACATTTAACCAAAGTGAGGCAAAGAGCTTATAAAACTTAACTGCTTTATCATTTTAATAATTTCTAAAGATTCTGGGTTTCCTGAAGGCAAAACAATCTGTGTAAAACCATGCCTAAGCTCATTGTTTGTTACTAAGTATTGTTCTTTTTCTGATGTTTGCCATAGTGTTGGCCACTGAGATTTTTAATGTTACATGTACCTTATACTTTGAATAATTAGATATATTTGTATTAAAAAATAGAACAGTCTCTGAATTTTTTAGTTTCAGTTGTCGCAAAGATTGTGCTCCCATTAAGCAATAGTCATTGTCTCTATCCTCCGTTATTCATGGTTCTCTCTCTCACTCTCTCTCTCTCTCCCCCCCCCCATCTCTCCCTCCCTCTCCTGTTTCTAGCAGGAAATGTGTTAAGAAAAAGATTTATTCTTAACCATATCTTTCTTAGAAGATACTGAAGAACTTTTTTAGAGTGGTCAGTTGATCATTATGCTTATATTAGATTGAAATATTGAAATACAACTTCTGTGGAATATCAGTGCCAAAATTTCATAATAACAATATTTGTCTTAACATTGGACATAGTTCCAGAAATCTTGGTGAAGCAACCCATGTTAAGTTCCTATTTTCTCCCATCCAAGTACTAACCAGACCCGACGCTACTTACCTTCCAGGATCAGGCACGATCAGGGTGTATGGCCATGGACAAGTTTGTATTTCCTTACTGTGTTCAGGGGGACATGAGAATTGGACTTCGTCATATTTAAGTTCAGTAATTCCATTCTCCATCTTAAGACTGTTAAACACCCCTTAGACTATGCCTTCCTATCATCTGTGAGGTACCTGTATTTGAAAACTTCCTTAGGAATTTGTGGATCTGGGCGATACAGCAGCCTGACCTTTCTTTATTTGTAGAATTAAACACTTGACTGAGCACTAGTCACACCTGAAACTGTCAAATTATAAAAGAGCATTTGCATAGTGGCTGTCCCTATATTATAGCCCTTTGAAGTGGCCTAGGCCTGGGCTATAACCTTCTATTAGGAGAAAGTGTGATAAAACATCCGTTTTAAATATTTTTTAAAAATATTTTCCGTACCTAACTTGAGTGTAAGGATTAGCTTAGCAGGTAGCATTAATCAGCCTTGTCTGCGAAATATTCTCAGGTACTTGTGCCCACATCTTTAATATTCCCAGCAGAAATGAAACGTGGCTTGAGAGTTGCTTTCCCTGTGGAATGGAAGCTGGTTTGGGTGGTGGTGTCTGGACAGCGTCAGCGTAGCACTTCCCGTGCACAGCGCGTCATCCACTAATGGCCCTTCTCACCGGCCGCCAGGATGTCCTTGGGCCAGGGACATAGTGAAGGTCACGAATGCATCCTGACAAGGTCCTACAAAAACAGAATAAGACTTTCTTTTTCTGTAAATTGCTCCATGGTATGAAAAAAGGTACTGAGTGTAATGCAGTTAGCTCCTAGGAATACTGATTTCCTTGGGGCCGTGAGAGAGGTGAAATTCTCTTCAATTAATCTGAATCATTTTGTTAACAGTGCGTGTCATGTCCTGGAAACATGAAAGAATGAAAGAAAATCCTTTCTGGTTGAGTATTGACTCATAGTTTAAGTATGCCCTTGATGGTCTGTATTGATGCAGTAAAATCTAGGGTTTGGAGAAGTTTTCAGATGTGTTAGTTAGTGTAGGTGTGTAGAGGTGATTCCAGATGATTGCAGAGTACTTCCGCTTGCCCTTGGAGGCTGAGAGAGCAGTGATGAAAACATTCTGGTGGAAAAAAATCCTTCCATCGTTTACCAAAGAATATCCCTCCTTTTGGTGTTTTGTTCCTATCATAAAAACATGGCAGTACATTTATAAGGCTAAGAATGTATTGTAATTCTAGGAAATTCTACAAAATATGTGACTGGATGCTTAGAAATTTCAAGCATTTAGGCATATGACTTAACTCAGGTACACGGAAACCTTTTATTTCACCAAAAAAAACTTTCAAAATTACAAAGTACAAATACAGCAAAGTCACATGGTTTAATAATTGGAAAGTGAGTACTCATGACATCTCTCCGCAGGTCAAGAAAGAGCATCACTCGTGCCCTAGAAACCCATCAGTGGCTCTCCCCTGTCCTCTGACTAACCAGTCTTTTGACTTCTGTAATTGAGAAGCTCCTTCTTTTGCCACAAGGTGGTGCCTCCACCATTCCATGGCAAACAGGGTGATGCAACAACAAATCTGAAATGACGAAGTTAGTATGGTTTTGCAATAAATTTGGATCCTATGCAATAATACTAAGCCTAAGCAGTAATACCAAAATTAACCTTCTAATCTTAGATGTAAATTGCTTTCCGTATATCACCTGGCTCAGCCTGTTACCAAAGAAATTGTCAGTTTGATAAATTTTATAAACAACAGTTCAAGATGAAACTGTTTTATGTTTTTAATAAACTAAGAAAAACCCGTTATTAGAAAAATTGAGTTAAAAATTCTCACATTGTAAAATGTGTCCATTGAAATGTACTATATTTAAAAATAACTTTCCCCCAATGCTGCCTGATTTTTTGTATCATAATTTAATTATGCCATAGTATTCTGTGGCTTTTTAAAGAGCTAACTACTATTAAGATTATTGTAAAACGTTTATAGAATAAAGGTTTGTGTTTTTGAGTCCAGAGAGCTTCCATATTCTTGAATAAAAAGTGTCTGCATTTTATCCTTTGTTTACCTCTTTTAATACTTTTTAACTTAATGTTTATTAGCTAGGTCTGAAAATACTAGAGTTTTAGTTTGATCTCTGTAAAGCCAGTTCATACAGATTACTATCGCCATGCACATTTGTATATCTTTACCATGACTGATCACTAGAACTGATTTTAGCGGTCTTTAAAGGCAGTATGTCTTCTTTAAAATCAAAACACTGAGGGGCGCCTGGATGGCTCAGTTGGTTAAGCATCCAACTTTGGCTCAGGTCATGATCTTACAGTTCGTGGGTTCGAGCCCCACATCGGGCTTTGTGCTGACAGCTCAGAGCCTGGAGCCTGCTTCTGATCTGTGTCTCCCTCTCTGTCTGTTCCTCCCCCGATTGCACTCTGTCTCTCTCTCAAAAATAAAGATGGAAAAAAAATTTTCAATTCAAACATTGAAATAATGTAGTGAAGTGTGTGTATGTTCCTGTAATCCTCTCTCCAGACTTAACCTCCCAGTCATTAGGTACTTATTTTTCCAATTACTTCGGCATGATTACTGGCAAAAATTCTTGAATTAAAACCACAAATTATATAGTAAAATATTTTGGTCCTTGTATCAAGGTGTATGTTTACTTTGGTATACTTGTTATCCTGATTTTTCCACATCTGCTTTGTCAACCTCTTTTAATTCAACCACTATTGTCTGTTTTGAGGGATAATGACACTGCTTTTCCAATGCATAATTTAGATGTTATCACTTAGTTTGGGTCAAATAGAAGAATGTTTAATCTGTGTGCCTTGCCATCCAAAGTGGTAATGTGACTTTCAAAGGGCTCTTGGCCAGTGATGGCACATCATAGTTGACTAGCAGAAAGAACACAGGCCACATTCTTCTGCTTCTTTGAGCCACACTGCAGTCCTGATGATTCATGTGGACATACCAGCACTAGTGCATTAAGTGCCCTTGATCACACTGCCTGTTTAGTTTCAAAGGCATCATTTTTTTTGTATTTAAAAATACAAAACTTACTTGACTCTAAGCCTATAAATGTAACGCCCATCTACCTGTTTGAGCATTTGAACTGATTAGGTGGGGAGGTGGTAGGTATATCTGGACTTTGAGCAAATTGCCAGAGGGAAAAAGCCATTATTTAATAAGGCGAGAGGCACAGCTGTATTTCTGTTGGTCCTTGGACAATCTGGAAATAGGACACGTGAATTGGAGGCATCCATTTTACACTTACTAAAATGTCTTTCTATAAATCCTGAAATCAGTCAGTTCATCTACCCACCCATCACAGACCAAAGCTCCCAGTGGTTTATCATCCCAATCCTGATAGAGTTTTTTAGTAACGATTTAAAATTTGCCATAATAATAGTTTTTACCTTCTACCCAGATTCACTAATTTGTAACATTTTGTCACTTAAGGTCGATGTATATTACATACACACATTCATATACAAACGTGAATATGCACACACATACGTAATTTTTCAGGCTTTTGAGAGTAAGTTTCAAGGAGTAATGCTCCTCTACCCCTTAATACTTCAATGTATATTGTCCAGGAATAAGGATATTGTCTTATATGACACCACTACAGTTACCACTTCCATAAATTTTAACACTGATTTAATGCTTTATAGCCCATATTCTAATTTTGTCAGTGGTCCCAATAATTCTCTTACATGGCATGTTTTTCCCCCTCTAGTCCAGGATTTAATTTATTTTTTTAATGTATAGAACATTAACAAGCTTTCAGAAATCTAACCATTCAGCATATGTACTAAATCTTACACCCTTCCCCGTCCTTTTCACTCCTTTCTGCCTCAACAGCTGTAGGTAAACAATCCATTCTTGTTCGAACCTTCTGCATTTCTTTTTGCAAAAAAAAAAAAAAAAATAATGTGGGGTTTTTTCATTTTCCCTTCTTTCTTACACAAAAAGTTGTGTGTATGCATGCTCTTTTTCTCCCCCTGAATATTCTGTGCTAGAAATCACTCCATATAATTTTTCAAAGATCCTCTTCTTTCTCATAGCTCCATAGTATTCCACCGAGTTTAAATACCATAGTTTATGCTATCATTCTCCTGTATTGGGGTATTAAGTAGCTCTCACGTTTATAACTGTACAAATAATGCAGCAATACTTAACCTCATGTGTTAGCGTTTTCTTATTTTTGGAAGTATATATTCAGGAGTAAATTCCTAGAAGTCAGAGTTACTGGGCAAAAGAGCAAATGTATATCTAGTTTTATTAAGTACTGCCAAATTCCCTTCCAGAGATGTTGCACCGTTTCATGTTTCTGCCAGCAATTTGTTTCTCTCCATGGCCTCACCATCAGAATTTATTTTCAAGCCTTTAATTTTTTGCCCATGGATGAGTATCTCACTGTAGTTTTTGTGTTTTTGTTATGATGAGTGAAGGAGTTGTAAAAACATGTTTAAGGGCCATTTTTGTATCCATTTTTGGTGAATTGCCTATTCACGTATTATGTCCACTTTTCTAAGGTTTTTGGTTCCTTTTTCGATTAAATTTTATCTTAAGGATATTAGTCCTTTGTCTAATAACATATTGCCAATGTTGTTTACAATTTGTTATTTGTATTTTGATTTTGCTCATGTATTTTTTTTGCAATGCACTACTTTATTTTTATTTTTATATTTTTAATGTTTATTTATTTTTGACATAGACAAAGAGCATGAGTGGAGGAGGGTCAGAGAGAGAAAGGTACACAGAATCCTAAGCAGGCTCCAGGCTCTGAGCTGTCAGCACAGAGCCTGAAGCGGGGCTTGAACACAAACTGTGAGATCATGACCTCAGCCAAAGTCAGATGCTCAACTTACTGAGCCACCGAGGCGCCCCAATGCGCTAGTTTATTTTTAATGTACTATTTTTCCTCCTTTTCTTCCTTCCTTCCTCCCTCCCTCCCTCTCTGTCTCTCTTTCTCTCTTTCTTTCAACTTAGTTAGAAAGTCTTCCTCTACACCCAAGCTATAGAGGAATTTATTCATGCTCCCTTTTTGTTTCCCTACTCATAGTGGTATTTGGGACTCTCCACCATGTGTACTTTGGCTTGTTTCTTGAGGTAGCCCTATGAGATTGTCTTCTTAGTGGACTCTGTCTCTTTTCCTCCCAGACTCCTGCAGTTCAGTGTCCTATGGCTTCAGGCCTTCTCTGTTTGAGAGACGGGGGCGAGCAAAATGTACGGAGCTCCCTACTTCTCCGCCATCTTGCCTCCCTCAGCCTCATGCTCCCTTTTTGTAAACTTACAGTTTCAAGTCATTTACATTTAGATCTCTGATTATATTTAGAGTTTACTCTTGTTTAAAATTGTGAGGAATAGACTTAATTTTATCTTTTACAAATGGCTATTCAGTTTAATGTACATCATTTACTACAGGTGCTTCTTTGCCCCAGTGGTTGGAGATGTGCTAGGTTTTCATATGTGGTGGGGTCTCTTTCTGGACTTCTATTCCATTGGTCTCTCTCTGTGTACCATTTACACGTTTAACTATAGAGGCTGTAGAGTGTTTTAATGTCTGATAAGGCTAATCACCCTTTCTAGCTTTTGGTTTTCAGTGTTTTCCTACCTATTCTTTTATTTTGTTTCTTAAAATAAACAAGTATCTATCAATTTCCTGGCTCTAGCAACAACAACAACAAAAAAAAAGGGTTTTGGTATTTTAATTGGGATTGCATAATTTATAAATTAGGAAGAATTGACATCCTATGGGGATGTCCTATCCAACTGATGTCTTTACATTTGTTTGTCTATTTTGTGTGTTTCAGAAATGTTTTAATGTGTCTCACAGAGGTTTTTAACACCTTTAAATTTTAGTCTGAAGTATTTGTCTTTTGTGTTGCTATTGTGATTACAGTTTTTCTCTTCCATCATGTATTTTTACTGGTTATGTTTACAGATGAACACTTTATTTTTGCACATTAATTTTACATCTTGCTAACTTGCTAAATTCTATCATTTATATATTTTTTTATCTTTGATACTGTAGGATTTTCCAGGTATAATTTCATGTGATCTACCGGTAGAGATATTTTTTCCTTCTTCTTTTCCGTTTTTATCCCTTTAACTTTTTTCCCTTATCAAAGTGCATCGGCCTCCACTACCATGTTAATTAAAACAAAAAAAATGCCAAGTGCAGACAGACAAGGAGCATAAATTTTTTTCTACATAACGTGGGATCATGTTATAGAAGTTAAAAAATTGTTACTAAAAATCACCCTGAAAATTCTGCTTCTGCAGGCAGGCTTTATAAACTAACCAGTAGTAACTTCATTTAAGTGGAATCATACAATATATGCCCTGTTTGTGTATGACTTCTTTCACAGAACATGATGTCTGAGATATGTCCATGTTTCTATACTTTGTACTTTTTCATTTCTTATAGCACTTTACACTCATACCAGCCATGTAAGAGAATCCTAGCTGCTCTGTATCCTTGCAATATATATATTTTATACAGTTGCTTTGCTGGATATATGTATTGCATAATCTCCTGTCTGTGGCTTGCCTTTTTGTTCTTCAATGGTGTCTTGTTGAACAGAAGTTCTTAATGAACTAGTTTATTTTAGTTTAGTTTATCAATGATTAATGATTGCTGTATGTCTCATTTAAAAAGAAAACCATTCCCTATACTGAAATCATAAAGAGATTCTTCTGTGTTATCTTCCAGAAACTTATCTGATTTGAATTTCACATTTAACTCTCCAGTCTAGCTAGGAATTGATGTTTTATGTGTGTATAGTGTGTAGTATATAGTGTGTATATATACTATATATATATATATATATACACTACACACATACACATGTAGACCTGTTTCTGAACCCTATTCTCGTCCATTGATATATTTGGAATTAATTGCTATCATTTCATAATGAGCCATTTTGTCCACTAGAAGAAATGTTAGTTCTTTTTATTCTTTTTCAAGTGTGTCTTGACAATTCTTGGCTCTACAACTTTTCAG